GCCTCCATCTCCTCTGTGATTCCACATTCTAAACGGGTTCACACCTCTGCTGGGGCTTGGTCAGCCTGTGTCCTCCTCCACGAATCTGCATATTTGTCCCCACACTCTCCTGAGCACTCCTTGAGATCAGGGGTTATGTCATCCTCATGTTTTCACCCTCCTTCCACAGTGCCCACAGTATGCCTTACCCAGAGATAGTACATGAGGAATGTTTGTGGCATTGGACTGAGTTACATTATGCAGATTTTTAGAAACCTTCATGGGTGAGCCCAGTGGTGCAGGTCAGGCCACACCCTGAGGAGCATTCAGTGTATGATTCCACAGTCAACCTAGGGGCATAATCCTTGTTAGGAACACACGATGGCCCACTCCAGTACACTCAATTACCACATATTTGCTTAGTCACCATTTACTTTGGTGACTGGGTATATTCAGATTGTTTTCTTTGAAAATTAAAAATGGCAGTGAGTGACCTATCTGCCCAAGAGGCTTACTTCAAAGTAGAAATCAATGAAATAGAAACTAGAGAAATGGTAGAGAAAATCTATGGAAGCCAAAGCTGTTTCTTAGAGAAGATCGATTATCTTGATAAAGCTCTAGCCAAACAGGTCAAAAAAAAAGAGAAGAAATAAATCACCAAAATCAGAAATGAAGAGAGGTAGTATCACTTTGGATTCTACAGATATAAAAATGTCAATAAGAGAATATCATGAACAAGTTTATACCAATAAAGTTCACAACTTTGACCAAAAAGATTCCTTAAAAGACACAAGATACTGGGATTTACATAAGAACAAATTAATAACCTGATAGAAATAGCCTATATCTTTTAAACTGAAATATTTGTAATTTGAACTTTCCTGCAGATAAAACTTTATGCCCAAATGACTTTACTGATCAACTCTAGCAAACATTGATGGAAGAAATAATACCAGTTCCCCACGATCTATACCAGAAAGTAGAAGGGCAGTTCCTTATACATTCTGTGAGACCAGTATTAACACAACACCAAAACCAGACAAAAACATTATAAGAAAGGAAAACTACAGACCCTCATGACAATCGATGCAAAAATTTTACACCAAATTTTAGCAAATCAAATTACATAATACATAAAAACATATAACATGTAAGAAGATAATACATTATAACCAAGTGGGATTTGTCCCAGGAATGCAAGGCTGGTTTAACATTAGAAAACCAATCAAGTTTGTACAGCCATGGTCATAGCAGCATTATTCACAATAGCTGAGAGGTGGAAGCAGCCCGAGTGCCCAGTGACAGATGAATGGATAAGCAAAATGTGGGAAATATATAGGATAAAATATTAATCAGCCTTAGAAAGGAAGGAAATTCTGACACATGCTACAACATAGATTAACTTTGAAAATATTATGCTACATGAAATAAGCCAGTCACAAAAAGACAAATACTGTATGATTCCACTTATATGGTATATCTAAAATAGTCAAATTCATAAAATCAAAGAATAGAATGGTGGTGCCAGGGGCTGGAGGGGGAGGGAATGGGGAATTATTGTGCAATGTGTACAGAGTTTCAGTAGACAAAAGACAAAAAAAAATTTGGAGATGGGTGGTGGTGATTGTTACAAAGCAATATGAATGTACTGGATACTTTAAAATGGTTAAGAGGGTTCACATAAGTATAGAAAGTAGAGTAATTATTCCTAGAGGATGGGAAGGGAAGGGAAGGTTGGATGTAGGGGTCAGAGGTGGATCAATGGGTTGAGAGTTAACAGGTAGACACGAAAATAAATTCTGGTGTTCCAGGCTGACTACAGCTAATAATATTATATTGCATATTTCTAAATAGCTAGAAAAGAGAATCTTAGCCATAATCACCACAGAGAAAAGATAAATGTTTAGGCATAAATACACATTCTACCCTAAGTAAATCATTGTATGATATACCATGTACTGAAACAACAAACTGTACCACAAATATGTAAAATTAAAAATAAATAAAAATTTTAAAATGGTTAAGATTGTAAATTTTGTTACATGTATTTTAGCACAATTAAACATTTAAAAATAATAAATAATGAAAAAATCAATCAAGGTAATACACCATATAAATAAACTGAAAAACTAAAACCATCTAACCATCGCGACAAGCACAGAAAAAGTATTCGACAAAATCCTAAATACATTCCTTGATAAATACTCAGCAAACTAGGAACAGAAGGGAAGTTTCTCAACCTAATAAATAGCATCATTGAAAAGCCCACAGCTGACACGCCACCAAGCGTCTCTCACATAACACCTGAATGGCTTCCCATTGCACTTAGGAAATATCTCTCCTCAAGGACTTTGGAGTAGTGGTCTCTCTGCCCCAGTGGGCTCTCCTGGGCTCCTCACGTGTTGTCCCTTTCCTTAGTTCTTCTCTAGAAGTCAACACTGAGGACATCGTCAAAAACAGCCTCACCCCACTCCTTGCAATTTACTCTGTCACATCCCTTTGTTATCTCCTTCAAGTCACTTATTACTATTGACACCTGCCATCTAGATTTTTCTTTAGTCTCTCCCACTAGAAAGGGTGCTTCATGCATTTATGGACCTTGTTGGTCATATTCAATATTATATCTCATGTGTCTAGCCCTGTGCCTGCCACGTAGTAGAGCTTATTAAATATTTGTTGAGGGAATGAATGAACAAATAAAGAGCAACTCATCCTGGGCACTGCTGAATCTCAGCCTGGATCCAATCTGTCTTGTCCCTGCGTCCAATCTGACACTTCCCTGGGTCTTTTTCTTTTATGGAGCCAGTTCTTCACAAGCTGATCGGTCTGGCCTCTTTCCATCAGTGCCACAGTCACCCCCCGCCACTCCCACTCAGCATTAACCAGAGCTGCTGTGCTCATTTCAGAAACATCTCAGCCTCCATGCCAACAGCTGTTCTGCTTTTAACATCAAGTCTTGACCTGCTTTATTTCTTTTGCACTAGCTCTTCTTCCAATCACTGGTTGAAATACTGTGCAAATCTGCAAATCTGTTTTTGATTCTGTAAATTTACCTTCTGTGAATGCTCAAGAGGCATTCACAGAAGGTAACTGAGATCCAGGAATGCTACAGTGGAAAGGTTTTATGGACTGCTATGAATCTAAAAAACAAATTTTTTTATTGTGGTAAAATGTACATAACATAAAATTTCCCATTTTAACTATTTTTAAGTTTACAGCCCAGTGGCATTAAGTACATTCACCTTGTACAACCATTATCACTGACCATCTCCAGAACTTTTTAATCTTCCCAAACTGAAACTCTGTACCCACTAAACAATAACTCCCCATCCCCTCTTCCCCCCCAACCCCTGGAAACCACCATTCTACTTTCTGTCTGTATAAATTTGCTTGTTCTAGATACCTCATATAAATGGAAGTATACAGTATGTGTCATTTTGTGTCCATTTTATAGGATGTATTGGTGCTTTAATCTTTTTTAAGGCTGAATAATATTCCATTGTGTATATATATTTGCTTATGCATTCATTCATTGATGGACACTTGGGTAGTTTGCCTTGAATTTTAATGTGGACAAAATTGTATCCTGGCGAGTGTTACCTCCTGAGTGTCTACCCATTACTCCGAACTGGCCCTCTATTAAACATCATCCACATCTCTGAGGAGTAAATCTTCTTACCAGCTGCCTCTGCGGGTTTTTGCTGTTTAATTTATACACAGGTTACATATGTAGAGAAAAAATATCACACTAATAACTCTTATCTCATTGTATTTTTATTTTTTATATTTCTCTCTTTTCTACCTACTTTGAGTTCCTCAAGTGTGGTGCTGATGTCCCTCTTAGGAATCGTATTCATCTACGAACACCCCCTCAAAAGAGAACCCACCCAACAGTGACTTACATGAAGACATACTTTTTATCTTGTACAAAGGAGGTCAAGAGTAGATGCTTCAGGGCTGTTACGTCAGTTCTACGATGTCATCAGGAGAAGCAGTGAAGGGCAGAAAGAGAAACAGAGGCTGTACTCCTATGACGTCAGGGAGGAGTCAGGAAGAGAAGCATGCCAGGGGGTGACGTGACAGAGACAAGGCTGAGGAGAGCAGAGGACAGGCTAATCCCCATTGTCATTACCTAGTGCCGACCTTTGCCCCAGCTGGTCCTCGGCTCCCTACCAACCCACACTTCCTCCACTTTGCAGACGCACAAGTGACCTGCAGATGTTCCCAACACAAATCCCTTGGCTGGGCATTCACTTTGACTCCTGCGTTGTCTGTCACCCTCACCTATCACTCCTCCTGTTCTCAGTCCCTCAAACCCTTAGCTGAAGTCAAAACTCTTTCCTCCCTGCCCACCGCATTCATTCCTGGATGGGACCGGGAAGGTACCAGAAGTAGAGCCTGAACGGGTTACTGAAATACCCACCGACGGAGGTCCCGTGGGAAGGAGGGATAACGTTGACATCTTCCCGGCGCGCTCTTCTGGACGCCCCTTACAGCTGACAGGGACGAACGTTAGGGGGGTGGCCCAGGTTCCGGGGACTGTGAAACGTCTTTGGCAGAATTCTTACTGGAGATACACTTGGACGATGTCTTTCAGGTGCTGGACAAACTGGAAGTGTCACACAACCGTTTCCCATGTGTAGGTAACTTGGGAATTTGCCACCCGAAAAAAAAACAAGAGATCTTTGTACACCCTACTGCAGCTACGATGGATTGTGAGCAGCAATAAATATGAACTTTAAACTGTGACCCATGGTCAGAGCGGGGTGTTATAACACCAAGGTCAAGGGTTCGGATACCCGCACCGACCAGCCACCAAAATAAGTAAATAAATAAATAAATAATGATGACATGAGTGGCCCCGGGTGTCCAGCGGACCTGGCCACCAGAACTAACTCTCCCGTCCCAACCGCCCACTCTCCGGGCAGAGGAACTACATTGCCCATGAAGCCTTGCGCGACGGCCGACGCTCCCGCGGGGCATCCTGGGAGGTGTAGTCCTCCCAGTATAAATTGCTCTCCGCAGCCCCGCCTCGCTAACATGGCGGCACCCAGTTGGGGCGTGTTCGTTCTCTTCGAGTGTTGGCCGGGGTGGGAGTCTGGGCTTTAGGCAGTAAGTGGGGTCGGCGGACGGGGATCCCGGGAGGAACGTGAGAAGGGTAGGGTCGGTGTTGGCGGCACGGCCTGAAGGAGAGTGAGGTGAGGGGCGGTCCGGGCCTGCCGGGGGACGCGGCGCTGTCCCGTCGTCGGGTCAGTAGTCTCTGGGGGCAGGGACCTCTGCCTCGTCGCGCCCCTGGGCCACTTGGTGGCTTCGATGGCCCCGGGCTCGGCTGTGGAGTGGAGTGGGGGATTCGGGAATCTAGGCATCGAGCTCGAGCCCAGACTCTCCAGCTTCGTTTTTTGTGCTTTTCTTATGAGGAACGAGTTGGGAAAAAAAAAAAAAAATTGCATTTCACCGCTTCCTGTCACGCAGAAACGGTGCTAGGCCCTTTATATTTCTCATCTCCAAGTGACTTTTCGCCACACTCGATAGGAAACCCTTAGCAGGTCACCTGGGTCCCAGGGCTCATGTTTGGATGATTCGATCTGTGTTGGACCGCCTTTAGGCTCGATCAGAACAATGTCAGAGTCTTCTTTTCCTCAGTGAACTTCCTCAAGGCTCTCCAGCTTTGGGATTATATACTAAACTGGTTTCAAGAAAATTAATTGGGTCCATTTATTTTCATTTAAATAGCGTAATCTGGTACAAGGTACAGAGGGGTGTGAGAAGCAGAGATTCTAATGAGTGACTGATAATCTCAAGCATCCTGTCAATCTCAGTATCTAGGATAAGGCATGATAATGGGTTTTCTTCTTTTTTTTAATTAGTGATGTGAATATGCCTTTTTAAAAACGACCATCATTTATTGTGGGACAAAGTCTGTGCACTATGTGGCTTTCTTATGTCATTTGACTGTTTAAAGGACACTAGGGGACTGGTGGTATCCTATTTTACATATAAGAAAACAGGTTAAATAACCTGCTTGAGATCACACGGGTAGTAAGGATCCTGGCCTGGATGAACAAAATCCAGATCTTGCTGCTCCCAAACTCAAACTACTGTACATACTTTCTAAGGAATGACTATAACACCAAGGTCAAAGGTTCACATCCTGGTACCGGCCAGCCACCAAAAACAAACAAAAATCTATGGGACCACTTAACAAAATGAATACTCCAAAGTGCAAGGTAGGGAGATTTGGGTAAAGTTCATGTAGAAAATGAAAGCATTTATATAGCATTATTTTTTTTAAGGGTAGTATTTAGTTTCACAATGTTTGGGGACCTGTTTGAAGAGGATTATTCCAGTGTATCAAATAACCAATACGGAAAAGGGAAGAAATTAAAGACTAAAGCTTTGGAGCCACCTGCTCCTAGAGAATTCACCAATTTATGTGGAATCAGAAATCAGGGCGGAACCTGTTACCTCAATTCCCTTCTTCAGACTCTTCATTTCACACCTGAATTCAGAGGTATGCTATGTTACATGCATTTGATTAGAAATATGTACTGTCATCTTTACATGTGATTAATGATGCAAAAACACAAATAGACAAAGTATCTTAAAGATAATATTCCACAGTATGTGTTTATTGTTGGTGAATGTAAGAGATAAATTGGCAGTTGAGAAATGTGAAGCTTAAATTATCTTAAATATTTTCTGTGTGATTACAGTAATGTTTAGTAACAAAATAAAAAATTAAGGCAATATATTTCTTCTCTAATTTCTATAATTTAAAATACAACATAAAGACAATTCTGGTATGAGTACCAGCCTCCATTCTTGTTGCACTACTTGTATTTTGGAGTTTTCAAATTTCTCCACAGTAACAAACACTTAAGCCAGAGTTACCCAAACAACTATATCTGCCTTTTGGAGTGGGGAGGGATGTCACATTATTTATATGGGTCCACAGTTGTTAGTCTGCATTTCTGAAATCCAGAAAGCTCTGGCACTGATTTGACCTGACCTGAACTTGTTTGGCCTCAGAACCTGACTTGGTGTGAGGGTATTTATAGTCTTAAATTATCTCAGTTGGGTGAATATTTATACATTTATTACAGGAATATTAATCTGCTTGATTAATTGGTACTGTCTATCCCAGACCCTGCTGAAAATGTACCATAATATATATAACATTTTCTTCATATTATCTTTCTAAAATCTAGAAATTCTGCATTCCAAAGACCCAAGTATTTTAGGTAAGGGATTGTGTGTAAGGAACAGAAACCCACTCAAATTAGCTCAATTAAAGAGGGGGATTATTGTAAGATTATAGGGGAATCTCCCACAAACCAGTCTGACCTCACTGAACCCTGGATTTTTTGCCCATGTTTCTCTCCACATGTTTGTCCCATTTTGCAAACCAGCCTCATCCATGAGGGTCTCAACGTCTATATTCACTTGATTTCAGTGGGAGCATTACTTTGCCTTCATGTGGCCCTGATTGGGGCTGCCAGCAATACGTAACTGTGCAGCTCAGCTCTCCAGTGTCTCCATGTTCTGAGGACACACAACTTGACTCAACCTGTGGTTTGCCACGTTCCCCTTCCCACCACCACCACATTTGCCAGATCTTTGTGATGTCTTCTGTTGCTCCTAAGCTTGCAAAGACTTCTTGCCTCCAGAGGTTTAATGAATATTTACCATTGTCCCGTTTCAGGGCTATTCTAATGGATTGGACTGCATTTGGGATTTAAGAGTGGTTGGTGCGTCTTGTCCTTGACTCTATCCCTTCCATGAAAGTATCCCTCTGATGCAGTCAGTAATTCTACTGCTTGGGAATTTTCAGCCCTTATTAGGCAGATTCCTAGGAGTGATAAAAATTTTTCCAGGTTTTAATACAGTTGAGGTTAAAGGGCAACTTGAAATAGAAAAGTAGCCTCAAATAGAGACTGAGGAAGAAGGTGAAGGCGTGGGGCAGGTCATGGAGAGGTCCACAAGACAAGAGAAGGACCGAGATCCCAGGCCAGCCTCTTCTCTAGCAGAGAGGATCGCTGGCCAAGCACATAGTTTGACATCTTGTATGGAATGTGTACTCCTTGTATGGTTTAGCATGAATCCTGATGCTGACTGAAGGGGAGGTATAATTTGTAAAGGGTAAGGATTAGCAGAGAACTAAGGAGAAACATTTTGGAATAGTATTTTAAGTAGGACCAGATGGGGTTCCATTGTACTTCTGGTACAATGTAGCTGAGAGTAATGGGAGATGAGTACAAAAGTCCTTGTATGGTTTTGTGCTTTGACCTGTAGGTTTGTAGTTTATTTTGCCTAGTCCCAGGACACAGGAGGAATAGAACGTTCATAACAGTGATCACTAGGTTAGCAGTGATTTTTAAATCAGGAGACACACCCATCCCATTCCTTGTCTCCCTGGAGTACATCACGGTTTCCCAGAAGGTGTTGTGACCTAGGTTAGGATACAGACTTCCCCAGAAGATTCAGATATGCTCCATTGGGCGACATACCTAAATGCTAGGTTATAAAAAAATTCTGGAGACTGGCATGGGGTTGTCAACTTTTTTTTGCAGGTAAGATTACAACCATCTGTTATTACCCTCAACACAGAAAAGACATTTTTACACCAGAAAAAGGAAGGGCACAATCTCAGAGTAAAAGGTGGTCCTTCGCATGAAAGAATGGTTGGCAGCCTCACAGGTGGTGTGAAATGCATACCTGCCACACTGCTGTATTTCCTAAGATTCCTTGTGGCTTTCGGGACCCACTGCCATAGGCAATGGGAAGCCATCAGAGATTTCTGATGTTACTCTTTTTAGTTTTATGTGGATTAACTAAGGATTATTTTCTTTTTTTTTTTTTAATTTTTATTTTGTCAATATACAATGTATATGATTATTATGGCCCATCACCGACACCTCCCGCCCTCCTCCCTCTCTCCCCTCCCCCCCAAGAATGTCCTTTCCGTTTGCTTGTTGTAACAACTTCAAAAAAAGTATAGTTGTTATATAAGGATTATTTTCTTTTTATGGACCTTCTATACTGAAATCTTAGCATGCACTTTATTTTCTTAAAGTCAGCAGTTAAAAATGTTACAAGAAAGTAAAGTGTGTAGAATACGGGTATAAATATTGTCTCAATCATATCTCTGACTCTTTAACTGATTTTAATTACTGGTGGTCTTGGCTTTCTAAAGCAGTTTTCTAAAATGAAATAAAGTTATTTACTTCTCTGATTCTACTTTTTTGTTTAGAAGCTTTATTTTCTCTTGGACCGGAGGAGCTTGGTTCATTCGAGGATAAGGATAAACCTGATGCAAAGGTATTAAATCTGTGATTTACTGGGGTATTGTGGAGGAAATGTTTTTTAAGGAGGGAATTAAGTTCCTTATTCATAGAATACAATAATTTTATTACTTACCAAATATGGTCTTTATTTTCAGAAACTGCCTTGGCCTACACCCTACTGGTAATGGAATTTTCCTTCCAGAAAAGTACTACTTTTCCAAATATAATGCTGCTACTGCTTTGTAAACATACCTCACTCTTTGCTATGTTTATTCTTTACTCTGGTGAAGGAGTATTTACAAATTGTACACACTAGCCTATGAAAAATCTATGTAAAGCACTTATTTACAACAAAACCAAAAGAAAAATAGAGACCAGTATTCTTTCAACTTGGTATTCTGAAAATAAACTGAGCAAGGAATTGGTTTATTATTGTTTATATGTTTCTGCAGTGACATTCTGCAGTGACATGCAGTTGTGTAATCACATTCCTCCCAGTGTACGTATCATTCAGAAGTCCCTGGTCACTTTCAGGCTCAACTCTGTACTTCTTAAGAGGAGTCTTTCTCATGATCCAGACCAGTCCTTCTCAAACCATCAGTGTGGAAAAGGACCAGTTTTGGCGTATTTTGTTTTATTGCCAGTCTGTTGCAGGTGAACACATCTGTAGTACTGTATGTAATAAAAACGCCATGGGATGTCAAATTGCCATACAACTTTTCAATGCTTATTCTCTCTTCTGTCCTTAAAGTCGGGCCTGCAGACCAGACACTGAGAAACATTGCTCAGTCTGCCCTGCCCTCCTCCTCACCACATCAAATAGGGCAGGAACGGGCTTGGAGCCAGCAGAAAGTGAGGTTGGGTGGGACTAGCCCTGTGGCATGTCAGAACTCCAGAGTGAGATGTGTGTGCCTGGCAAGTTCCTACAGAGGGAACTGTAGGATCTGCATCTGAGATATTTTAGAGAAGAATGAACTTTTAGAAGTTCAAACAGCTGTCATTGTGCAATTAATTGGATGGTTTATTATGGCGTTTTTGCGTTTTAATATTGATCTGAACTATGTTGAGGCAGAAAAATCTAGATAACTAAAATTTTTTGGATTGAATTAGAATTTTCAAAGAACTGAATCTTAATTAGTTCTCCCTTTGTAAAAAGATATTTATAACCTTTCTCCTGAAGGAACTAGGAGATAGGAGAGAGCTAGCATGCAGATCTTTATAGAAGCCTAAGTCACCTCTTAAATGCATTCATTTAGAAATGCACGTGTTTCTCATCCAGGTTCGAATCATCCCTTTACAATTACAGCGCTTGTTTGCTCAGCTTCTGCTCTTAGACCAGGAAGCTGCATCCACAACAGACCTCACGGACAGCTTTGGATGGACCAGCAATGAGGTATGAAGGTCCGCTTCTCTGAGGCAAAGTTACTAGTAATAGAGGAAAGAGCAATGTGGGTTTCACATGTCATCTCATTTTTCTGAATTTTATCTTAGGATCTGAACATAGCGCTTGAATATTTCCTTCTCACATTAAATAATTACAAGTCAGGAATATGATTTTTAGACACTTGCTGTATATGGGATTTTATGCATGCTGTGATTTGGGATGGGGAGAAGGCTGTGAGTACAGGGAGAGCTATAAGAGCTGATTTTACAATTTCTACTCAAAGAATCTTTATATAGTCTAGTTGAGATACAACACCTGTGACATGGAAATTACCCTTTCTACAGCAAACTGCTGATCAGCTTTTTAGTCTTTGATTAGCAATAATGGATAAACTAAACGGTAGGTAATTATTTACAATTCTGTCTCCCTTTGTGAAGTGCTCTATGTTTGAATCTGGCTGTTCTCATTGAACATTTGCTTCAGGGAAAGCAGTGAAACCTTTCCTAGCAGGTCTTTTCACCTTCTCTGTCCTGACTTTCTCCTGGCTCTCTTTGTTTTCTCCTGTTTGCTACGTGTGTGGCCTCCTCTCATTCTTCGTTTGTGTTCCTTAAAGACATTGCACTGTACACTAACACCAAACATGTGTCAGCAACGAGTAGAGGTGCTCGTTGTCAATATTCATGAGCTGTTAGCTGTACAAATGCAAGCAAATCCAGGTCTACCACTTTTTACGGAATAGGTGTGTTTCTGCAAATACAGGTATGGGAGGCAGTCACAGAATTAAAATAGGCAATGATAGTAATAATGTTAGGTTGCCTTCAGCAATAAACTGAACTGTGGCCATCTTCTAATAAGGAAAACTTAACTAGGTGATACTATGTGATAAAAGAGGTAGGACATGGACTTTAAAATGAGGCAATAACACATTCTACAAATAGGTATGTTAGATTTTTGCTGTAGGCCTGGTGCTTGAGATTAATTCCTGTATACTTTCCTTTAAAAAAAAATAACCACTATATTGAGATATAATTTACATGCCATAAAATTCACAGTTCTAAAGGATACAATTCAGTGGTTTTGAGTATATTCACAAGGTTGTGCAACTATCACTACAATCAATTTTAGAACATTTTTACCACCCAAATAAGAAACCTGATACCCATTAGCAGTCACTCCCTGCCTCCTCTCCCACCAGCCCCTGGCAACCACTAATCTACTCTCTGTCTCTGTGCATTTGCCTGTTCTGGACATTTCATAGAAGTGGAATCATACAACATGAGATCTTTGGTAACTGGCTTCTTGACTTGAGATAATGTGTTCAGGTTTCATTCATGCTGTAGTACGTGTCAGTCTTTCATTCCTTCTCATCACCAAATAATTTTTTTAAAATAATTTTTAAATAATTTTTTGAAAATATTTTTTTAATGAATTTTTACAAAAATAATCACCATATAGTTTTTTTTCAATCTAGTATCAGTTGATAGATTTCCATTTGATTTTGATAAAGAGGTTTCATTCACTTGCTGGTTTCATACTCCTTAAAGCTGTGAAAACCTGTTTTAGGTTATTTTGGTTTTTCTAAACAAAATCTTGCAGGACGTCCTTTAGGACTGGACCTGTAGTGACAGGAGAAGGCCTCTGAGGCACCTTTGCCAGCTGTAAGATTCTTCAGAAACAGAGCTTGAAAACTTCCACAAGTGTCTGTCCCATGGGAGCCAGTGGTATTGGACAAATGTCCATCCTCTAGTGTCCTGCATTTTACAAGACAGGAAAAGATTCCAGTCCCACATCTGGCTCCAGCTTTTAGGCTCTTTATCTGCCGCTGTCCACACGGGGCCTAATTGGAAATAGTCCCCGTCGCAGCCTCTGCTCCTGCGTCTCCGCGCTCGCGGCTCTGCCTCCTTCTCCCTTTCTTGTCGAGGTCGACAGCGCCCTCCGGCGCCAGGTCCAGAAAACACTGCCCTGTCCCCAGCTGAGTGGCTCTCGCGGCTCCACGCCCTCCTCGCAGCCCAGCCCCTCCTGCGTCTCCCCTCCCGCCCTGTACCCCTCGGAGGTGGTGTGCCCGCGGCTCTGCTGTGCACACTGGTCTTAAGTAGTCGCTGGCACCCGGCCGCAGGACTCGCACGGGGTCAGCGGAGCCAGCAGGTGCTTTCTCAGCAGCCCCTGCCAGTCCTGCTGCAGCTGGTTTGCAGGTCAGAGCAATGCGTTCAGTTCTTCTCTAATGCTGGGAACTCAGACGCTCAGCAGTCGCCGCCACCTTCGTGGGAGGATCCTGTGCAGACACTGCCGGCTCTTAGAAGCCGATCCGCGCCTGACGTGTCCCTTCCTCCTGTCCCCTGTCTGTGGCGTGCCACGTGCCTGCTTCCCACGAGCGTCACTGCCCTTTCTGGCTGTCAAGCGAGATGAGTCATGTGCACACAGCGAGCACTGCCTGTTCATATTTTCTTTTTGCATATAAACAAAAATAGGTGGTGACCTTTTAACCTGCTCTCAGCTCATTTTGCTTAGTCATTCTTATATCTGATCAAGGATTATCTTTGGATTGCTTGGTAAAATCCTGCATTTTTGTTAACTAATATTTTTTAAATCTGTTTTTAAAAGTCTGAAGCACAAAATTACACTTAGAAGTTACCTGTTTTATAGGAAATGAGGCAACATGATGTTCAGGAACTCAATCGAATTCTCTTCAGTGCTTTGGAAACTTCTTTAGTCGGGACCTCTGGCCATGACCTCATTAGCCGTCTGTATCATGGAACCATTGTTAACCAGATCGTTTGTAAAGAATGCAACAACGTCAGTGAGAAGCAGGTGAATATGCAAGAATATATTAGTAATAAGTTATATTGTAAATTATAATTTATGTAATGAAATCTATGATGTGTAATACCAAATGAAGATTAAAGTGTTTATTACTATAAATAATTTATCATTTTTTTCTTTCACTCTACACTTAAATCATCAGATTATAATCCAGATTTCTCCATGTAAACTGAAAGAAGCAAATATCTTAAAACTTAATTTTTTATGCACTACTATAATATTTGGAAAGTAGATCTGGGGATGTTTACAAATAGAAGACTGGCCTCATGAGAGAAGTCAATATCGTCATGGTTGGAAAGTTATAAAGAAAGTTAATTAGGGAGGTAATAAAAATAGTGAACACTGAGGAATGTTTAGACAAACATGCATAATTAAATATTGGATTTAGTTATTAATATCCTTCAGAAGCTTCATTTGTGTGTGCTATTATAATCTTTTAAAAATTAGTATAACCTTCTTTATAATGACACAGATTGTCCATTTAACCTAACTGGAATTTAAAAATTGGAATTCAGAACTGGAAACTTTCTCATGTAGGGCTTGCAGTTTAACTCAGTTGGTTAGAGTGTATTGCTGATAACACCAAGGTCTGGAGTTCAACCTCTATGGCTAGCCACGAAAAATAAATAAATAAATGAGTAAATAAATACAGTAATCTCTGTTTGCTTTGCAAATGTTATGCAGCTGATGGTTTCATCACTGAGCAGTCATAATAAAAATCTCTTTTTGTTATGGCAAGAATTTTAGAAAGTTTCTGTATTTGACTGTATGGGTGAAAAATTAAGTGCCATCTTCTAAACGTGTCAATTGCTTTTTTGAATATATATATTGGATATATATTTTTTCTTTTATTTTTTAAGTCAGAGTTGAAGATAAAAAAAAAATGCTTCTTGGCCCTTATTGCCTGTGCTACTAAAGGCTTTCTTGGTTAGCCTAGTTTAAAAATAATTAAGATATTAAGATGTCATTGTGTCTTAGAATAATTAGTATGATTGACATATTTATGATAAAATAATTCACAAAGTAATTTCAAAACAGAATGTAAGGCACATTATAAATTACAGGCATTAACTTTTCACATATATGTTATAAACCATATGTGTTACTTTTATTACTTAAGATTTCCACCATGAAATAACTTGTGCCCTATAATTTTCCAGTCCCCACAATCCCTTAATATAATGCTATTGCATGCACACACAGAACTATATTATTTGAACTTGTCAAATTGTAATAGGACTTATTACTAGAAATATAATCCAAATATAAAGTAGAATTAATAGGCTCCTGTTTTGCAAAATTACCCTACTCTTAATTTTCATAGAAATACCTTTTTGTCTTGCTCAAAATAATAATTATTTTCTTATAACTTCCTCAGTGTCTTAAACCAACCCTAGCAAAAGAAGAAATGTAATTTACATTAAAAAATTTAACCCTACACTTGCTGTTATGCTATAGTCTCAAAACTAAAAGTCTGTAAACCTTGCCTCTATACACTTCTAAATTCAGATATGTGTTTTTCTGTGGTTTATTTTATTTCCTTATAAAATAAGTTTTATTGTGTCTGTAGTGGACTCATAAATTTCTTCCTTTATAAATTTTTTCTGATATAGCTTAAGCTAAATTATAGTTTGATTTATAAAGAAGGATAATTTAGTGTTGCAAATTTCACATTATCTAATCATATCTACATCTTCATATGCACAGTGTTTTAGGAAAAATAACTCATATATCTGATTATTTCCAACATACGTGTGAGTTGGTGATGTGTTTGTAAGCCTGTGTGAAATTGTTTGTTTTTTCAGTACTATATTCATGTACATTTCAGGAAGACTTCTTAGATCTAACAGTAGCGGTCAAAAACGTATCTGGTTTGGAAGATGCACTCTGGAACATGTATGTAGAAGAGGAATTTTTTGACTACGACAATTTATACCACTGTGGAACTTGTGACAGGCTGGTTAAAGCAGCAAAGGTAAAGATAGATACGCTTTTTCTTTCCCAGGGTGCTCCTTTAGTACTTAGCACATAATAGCGGGAAGATTTGTCAACTGAAGTTAACTATATGAAAAAGTCTGGAGGATATACTTGAAGTTCTTAACAGTAAGGATTGAAAAGACATTTACATTATTATCTGTATTTTAACTTTTTTTTTTAACTTTAACAGTAATAACGTTTTTAAATCTTTCAACCCAACAGTTCTCTGCACTTCCTTCTCTCCCAGGAAAAATTTATTTGTACCTCAGTGTTTCTTAAGTGTACTTTCTTGATAAACTCCCAATATCACTACTTTTTGCAAATTACTGTTGTGAAGAAGGCAGTGTGTATTTTTATTCCTGCGAGCCAAGAAGCTTGTTGACTTTTCCTTTCTTTGTTTACCACTATGAAAATAGATGGCTTTCTTCATTTTCTCAATATGCAATTGTTTTATAATCTTAATATGTGTCCTCCCTCATTCTAGCAAATCTAATGTGCTCTTTCCTCTTCCCACAGTTGGGAATACTTAACTTGATAGTTAGGGAACTCAACAGAGTACTTCTAGTTTTCTTTCTGTACAGCCAAGCAAAATATAAGATGATGGGGCTGGCCAGTTAGCTCAATTGGTTATAGCACAGCCTTGTAACACCAAGGTCAAGAGTTCAGATCCCTATACCAGCCAGCCATCAAAAAGAATAATAATAATATCTACATGTATATATATATTATACATGTAGATATTATTATGTGCATGTATAATATATATATACATATACATATATGATGAAAGGAAAACAAGATTAAAGCAACTGATTTCTTTTGCAGCATGAGAGCTAAGAGGGAAAAGTAAAACAAATCAGTGAGTATAATTCTGATATCTCTCAAATCTGTTCATCACATTCATAAATAAATAGCCATTCTGGTAGATATGATTTTTTAGATTCTGGGAAGGAAGAGAAACTTTGACAAAGAGAGAAATGAGAGACAACTACCATTTACTTTAATGGAATACCTCCCCAGTGTTATTTTCATGCATCATGAATTTTGCAAATCCTAGCTCCTTTCTGAAGTGGCAGTGATTTATTATGTCAGCACTTTGATATTTCTGAAAATCTGCCACATATTGATATTTTATCCCCATTTTAATGTAAGGTCTTTATGCTTTACTAGTCCAGCCCTTTGGATCCAAGATATCTTATCTACTTGTTTTAAGGGAGTCTGGCATCTGAATAATCTCCTTGGAGGAGAGAATTTAGAAAAACATTTTGTGGAGATTTTTTTTTACTTGATCTTCTAGTAGCCATTCATTTGTATTTCCTTTTCACCATTCTTTCATTATTCTATGTGACTTCTCACTATGGAATTGTTGTTTAGTGTATTTTTTGCACAGTCAGTTTCCAACAAAAGCATTACCAATGCTAGGAAATTGCTAAGTGCTAGTGATTCACTAATATTAATATAAAAATGACTGTTATAGATAATTTATAAATATCTATATGTCTATGTATGTATAAATTATGAATGCCATTGCCCATTCCTCTGGCTTAGGTGTGCTATCTCTAACCCTCTCTAGTCTCCTTCTTGGCTCTTTGTATCTGTGACCAGTATGGCATCAACCCCACTGATGTCATTATTATCTGCAGTAGTAACCCTCCCACTGCTGCTGGATAATAGGATAGGCTATTTTTAAATATCATAAACTTGGGCTCAGTTCAATCAGTGATTGTTGAGCACTGTCTTAAACAGCTACCACAAAAGACATATCTATGCAGTTACTTCTTTATGACAAAGAGATAACACTATTCCTATAGCAGACAATTACTGAATTTTTCAGGTAAATCAAATGAATATTGATTTAGATAACACATGATACTGATTTTGTATCCTGGGCATTATAGATGAAAATATAATAAAAACAATAAAGTATCCCTGTATCTTTCTCAATAGGACTAAAAACCAGGGTAAATTTTATACCGTTTAATATATATTTTCATCCAGCCTTTGCCCCTTTATGAAACCCAAAGAGAGAGGCTTTTCATTTGCTTATTTATTTTTTATTCCACCTTTGGTCCTACAACTACAATCTAATAATATAAATAAGTATAAACCTCAGAGTTTGTAAAAAGCCTTAGATATTTGTACATCCTTAATTTTTGGTCGAACTTAATTTGTAAAACAACATTTTGCTGACAAGGAACAAATGCAGTTTTTTTTTATATACCTTTTATATCATTGGTTTAATTTTTTTTCAATGGAAATTTTTTGATCTTGTTACTTTTAAAATTACATTCTATTCTAGTTGCATTCTAAGTTTAGTTTTGGCTGTGCTACCAAAATAAATGCAGATTTTTCTTGTCCTTGGCAGTCTTTTCTCAGCCATATTATAGTTGAATGACTCAGTTTTTTTGTATGTATTTTTAGAGCTTGTTTGAAAATCTTCTACATTGTTGTATTAATTTTTTTCACTTAACTTTTTTTATCCATTAGATTTGTAGAATTGTTGTTTGAAGATATTTTTACAATGCTAGCTGTATATGATTATGGATAATTTTATATATGGGGGGAGGATTTTTTTCCCCCTTATAGGCCATGAACCCAAGAGGTTTGGGGACAACTGATGATTCTTAAAAAGCAGCTTAATTTAGTGTTTTGTTTTAAAACAAGGAAGTAAGATAAAAATTTATCTGCTTTTGAATTTAAGAACAGTGACTATAAACCCCCAATCAATAGATCTTAATCTTTGGGGAGTTAGAGTCCCTTTGAAAGTCTAAGGAAAGCTATGTATCTTCTCCCCGGAAAAAAATACATATGCATATAGAATTTTCACATTATTTCATGCATTCGGATCCTTTAAAATAGGTTCCTAGGTCCCAGGTTAAGAGCTCCAGTTCTTCACTAAATGAAAAGAACTGTATCTGCGAGGTAGGGTGGAGACACTAAGCAGGAAGTTGAAAGGCCAGGAATTGGGCAGGAAATAGGCACTGTTAGAGAGGCAACCTGTTCATCAAATAATATTTTAGGATGTCGACACCGAAAACATAAAACTGGCTTATAAATTTTTAGTTTAAATGAGTGATGCCATCTTTAGTCCCATAAAATAGATTTTATAGTTTACATCAAGAGTTTACCTCGAGTTATATTGAATTTACATCAAATTGAATTTACATTGAGTTTACATCAAGAGTTATATTGAATTCATGGTAATGAGTTTATGTGATTTAGGACATATTTCTTTTAAAACTGTGTCATAGGTTTTTTTAGTACTTTACGAAACATTATGTATCTTTTTATATAACTCTACTTTTAAAAATCTTTGTAAATTTTTCTTTTAACAGTCGGCCAAATTACGTAAGCTGCCTCCCTTTCTTACTATTTCATTACTAAGATTTAATTTTGATTTTGTGAAGTGTGAACGCTACAAGGAAACTAGCTGTTATACATTCCCTCTCCGGATCAATCTCAAGCCTTTTTGTGAACAGGTTTGAACTATTTTATTTTTAAAATCTTTCTCTTCCCCTCTCAAAATTGAATCTTTTATTGACCTGATTTTCATTGGTTTGTTGTAGAGTTTCTCAACCTTGTCACTATTAACATTTTGAGTTAAATAATTCTTTGTCATGGGGATTATCCCATGCATTGTAGGATGTTTAGCAACATCCCTGGCCTCTACCTACTAGATGGCAATAGCATCTCCACTCCCCTAATTGTGGCAACCAAAAATGTCTTCAGACATGGCCAAATGTCTCCTGGGAGGAGAGGTGGGGGGCAAAATCACCTCTTGCTGAGTACCACTGATTAATTTACAGTCCTTTTGATTTTCCAAAGTATGGATTTGTTCTCAGTTCTCTTTATTAAATTCTCCTAGAAAAATCTTTGAAGTGAAAATTTAAGAAAATTAGGAATGACCCTGCATTTAGAAAAATTACCATTAATTGGTACTTTGCTATTTGGATTTTGTTTATTTTAAATGTAATATTGAATTGCACATCTAGAAAATGAACAGGCAAATGGAACTTCACTAAGCAAGAACTTATAATCCTTAAGGCACAGGAAAAGAAAAAGCTCTGAAAACAAATTAATTATAAAATTGACCTACTTTATAAGCCATTTTCAAATTTATATCATGGCTATACCTGTCAAGATCAGAGTGATGAAACTGATGTATTTTTTATTACAAATTATTCTTATATGTTTATTAAAAACAGAACATTTGCTAGCTAACTATTGAATATCTATGTAAAAAGGTAATTTTTTAATAAATGTTTTTAAATTCACACTCTTCATTGATGGGCCTTCCTCTACTTCAAGCCTAATTATTGGGCTTTTTGGTTTTTGTCTTATTGCTTGAATTGCCATTCAAAGGTTCTAATGTTCTATTGGCTATAAGCCTGTTATTGGCATACTCAGAGTAATTTTCTCAAAGTTAGTTAATATAATTGCACCTCTTTTATAAAGGGAAGTTTGTCACGTAATTTTAACATATTTTGATATAACAAAACTGAAATAAGTAAAAAAAAATTGAGCACTTATTTAGGAAATGCACATTAGTTTTACTTTTGGATTTCCGTATTCATGAAAAAATGTCAGTTTGCATCTTTGTGTACATCTATCTTGTCTTTTGCCTGAACCAGACATTTTAAAATGGAGCCCATTTAAAAAGCAAAATATTTCAAGCAAATAAATTCCTCAGTTAACTGGTACCCCTGTGTACATTTTAATATTACAGATAACAGATTCAGTTTAGACATCAAAGCTGGAAGGACTTATATCATGTAATTCAGACCCCTCAGATGTGAATAAACATCCTTAAAGTTATCTCTTAATCTAAAGTAATTTTAACTGCAAGTGTAGGAGTTCATCTTTTGAGTCACTCGTGATTACAGAGCATATTAATTATAGAAAAGGTTGAAGAGAGAATAAATAAAACAAGAACAAACCTCTTCATTCCAGTAAACTGCCTCTGAGCAAGACAGCCAGTATTCATAACTGCTAAGTTCCTTCTCTGTGCAGAGGACTTAAGTGTCACAGCAGTGATAGACTTTGAGCACATACAAACACCTAGTTGCAATATAGGACAGTTCCAACAAGTAAAGAGCACATGTATACAGCAGCATAGTTTACTATATATCCACTCTGTAGAAAACTTTGATAGGCACTGAAAGTTAATACAGATACAGGTTTTAAAGTTTTTAGTTCTAAATAATTTCAGATGTAGAAGTAAAGAGCACATGTATAAAGGAGGAATAGTACAAAGATGGTTTTCTCTTACTAATAATTTCTACAACAGACTCACTGATAAGGTAATGGTTTTGTTGTCACATTGGCTTACGTGATCTTAGCCAAAGTAAATAAAAATAACGCCGTTTTCAGATAAATATGTTCATGGTTAACTAAGGCAGGATTTGATTGATGTAATGTGTTACATCAATGAATTAAGAATTTTAAAGTTTAAAGCCAATTATTTAAATTTATCTTTATTTACCCTTAAATAACAATGACAAACAATGAAGTTTCTTACTAATTTCAGTAGTGAAATTCTTTTTTCCCTTTCATTATATATCTTACCATTTTATGTAAACTATATCAATGTTTATATTCTTTTAGAGTGAAGTGGATGACTTAGAATATATATATGACCTCTTCTCAGTTATTATACATAAAGGTGGCTGCTATGGAGGACATTATCATGTGTATATTAAAGATGTTGATCATTTGGGAAACTGGCAATTTCAGGTAAGTACAGAAATTCGTTTAGAAATATACTTACAATTCTTTGCTTTTCTATTTCTGTTATTATGTTGAGAATAATCTTATTTATTACATATCCACTCTACAGAAAACTGATAGGCACTGAAAGTTAATACAGATACAAATTTTAAATTTTTATTTCTAAATAATTCCAGATGTACAGAAAAATTACCAGAATAGTACAAACACTTCCTGTACACCCTTTACCTAGGTTCTCTAATTATTAACATTTTGCCACATTTGTACATATACATATATAGACACACTGATTATTATCATTATAAGTGTTGAAGCATCTGAAATTAAGTTGTTGACATCAGACCCCCCTTTACCCCTAAAAAATTCAATGTTTGTCTTCTAAAAACAAGGATATTCTCTTACACAAGCATAGATGTATTTAGTTCTATTCAGATTCTACCAGTGTCCAATCCACATCCTTTACAGTAATTTTTTCCCCACTCTAGTGTCAAGTCCAGGTTCATGCATTATATTTAGTTAGCTATCTCTTAAATCTTCTTTAACCTAAAACCATTCCTCAGCTTTACAGTTACTCCGTTATGACAAAGAGATAGCACTATTTCTATAGCTGACAATTACTGGATTTTTTCCGACAAATAAAATGAACATTGATATAGATAACACATAATATTGATTTTGTATCCTGCAGATTGTAGGTGAAAATGTAATAAAAACAAATCTCATGCCTACAGTTTTCACAATAGGATTTAAAATCAGAATGAATATTGCCCTATTTAACATAATATGACTGCAAAGTCATGTCTTTTATGGTAGCTCTTTAAAGTAGTGCTCAATAACCACTGATTGAATTACATTTAAAACTTCAGTCTTCCTAGAATGGTTTCCTGTGAATATTGTGAGATTTTTTTTTTCCATTTGGAAAAATTGCCCATTACCATTTATTGAATAATTCATTTTTCATTCCCCTGTCAACTATGCCAGTTGTTATGTGATCAATTGTTCATTTATGTTTAAATCTATTTTTTAGCTCTCTTTTCTGTTTCGTTGGTATTTTTCCTACTCCTGGGAAAATACCACATTGTTAATTTCCATAGCTTTATAATTCATGATATGGTAGGGCAAGTCCCTGTACATGTTATTGTTCTTCAGGAGTGGCGAGCCTGTCTTGGTTTTTTATGCCTCAGTGTACATTTCTATAATCACCAGATCAGAATTCCTACACATGCACATGTATACACACACATGCATAAACACATTGGTATTTTGAGTCTTCGTATGTGAACAATATATGTTAAAAAAATTTTAAGCTTTTTAAATGTCTTATAAAAAAGTTTTATAATTTTCTCAAAAAGAACTTGCAGATATTCTGAGCGAAGCACTAACCAGAGTCTAGTTCCTGGGAAATTATAATGTGTAACACAGCAATCTCAAACTCTCAACCAATTTTCTAAAATGAAACTAAAACACAATAAAACGTCTATATGTATGTGATGAACCATCAGATTAGGATATAAATGCTTAAAGTATAGCTTCCTGATTATCAAACAGTGAATATTGTTGTTAATGAATAGTAGCACCACGTGTAGTAATACGGCTTCCTTGGTGCCAATAATATCTGTCAAAGTCAAATAAAATATGGAGATGAATCTCTAAAAGAAACATTTTATTTGGCAATGACAGAATTGCAATCAGGGGCATACACACAGACAGAGTGGTCTCTGAGTTGTCAAAGAACAAAGAAAGGGTTGGGAGTTTTATTAAAGCAAAATGCTACATATTGTTTTGAAAGAAAGCTCGTTGGCATTAGCGAAGTTTTGGGGAGTTGGAAAGTTCTGATCGGTGAGTGACAGTGGGAAGTAAAGCTAGCCTTAGAGTCATGGTAGGTCATTTCAAAAGCTACTAGATAAAACTGGTCTTAGGTTACAGCAGGCCATTTCAGGAGCAGGGCTTGCAGAAGATTCTTGGAGCAGGTGCTGTGTGCCCCGAGTGCTTTTTCCCTCCGACCCATTGACTCTGATTTAGTTTGTGTATGACAAGAATACACAATTTGTATAATCAACTTTCACATATCCTAGATGCATGTTCCCTTTGTTGACACTCAACTTTTTAAAACATCTATCTGTATTTTTGACATACTATCGGTTGTATTTGGAATATATTGAGAGATACGTATGTTCTGTACAGTTTGGATGTGAAAAAAGTCAAACTATGTTCTACCAGAAAAATGTTTACCAGGAAGATGTTCCATAGGGGTATGCCTGTACTTTGTTTTTCTTGGACTCTTTGTATTGAAATGCACTTATTTTTATTGTATTGATTTTATATACTAAGATATATAAAATTTTTTAATGTATAAATTAAACATTTTATATGCTGACAACCAGCAATGTTGCTAGTTGTCATAATCTCTCTTATGTTGTAGGCATCTATGGAAAAAGACAATTTTGTTTCACCCTCTCTAAACCTTTACCTTCAATTTCTTTTACTTATCTTACTGCGGTGGATAGAACTTCAATTCTGGGTTGAGAAAACCATACAAGTATCACTCTCAAATGCCTGTGCCACATCTGCCAAGACACTAGCTAGTCAGGCACCTTCCCCATCAGATGTTTCCATGTTTAGTTTTAGCTGATCCTTATTACATTACCTTCTTTTGAACTGCTTTCTTGCATTTTCAGTTTCCCATAGTAGAGAATCCTTATTCTCTAGGATGGCCGTTGTCATCTCCCTCCTGTCCCTCCCCTTTTCATACAATCACATTAGCTTTTTTTCATTCTCTCTTTAAGATGAAGTCGAAGCCTTTCGTTAGCTTTTGATAGAACCTCATCACCAGGTCTGATACATGTTTATTATGTTTGTCTGTTTGTTTTTTTAATCTTGCCACTCTTACTGCAATTCTTGGTTCTTTTCTTCCAATTATGCCTTCATCTATTCTAATCTTTTTTCAATATTGCCATATCTCTCTTCAGTCTTTGAAAGTGTTCCCAGCCTCTTGGCCAGTCCAGCCTTCACCTCAGGCAGTGTGTCTGCTTTCCTCAATGCCTGCTACAGCTTTTGCTTAGCCCATTTCAGATTTGAGGCATTTTAGCTGGCAGCATTTCTCTCAGTCTTTTGATGCATAAAATACCTATTTGCAATTTCATTTTCAAGTTTATTGTTGAGGTCATGCACAGAGTTATCTTCACACTCTGTGGTGAGCCAGCATGTTTCAAGAGTAATGATTCTGGGCCGGCCCGGTGGCGCACTGCATAGTGCGCCGCTTGGGAAGCGCGGCGGCACTCCCGTCCGAGGGTTCGGATCCCACATACAGACCGGCTCCCGCTCACTGGCTGAGCGAGGCGCGGGAGCAACACCGAGGCTTGCGATCCTGTTGCCGGTCCCCGGTCCGGTACGGGGGCAACACTGAGGGTTGCGATCCGTTGCCGGACACGGAAAAAAGACAAAAAAAAAAAAAAAAAAGAGTAATGATTCTGTCTTCCATGTCTTCCTTTTGGGTTGTGATTTCTTGGACATCTCTTTGCAACTTTGTGTTCATTTCTTCAGAACTGATTACCTTTCTTTTACCAGTGACAGGATCTTCTTCAAATTCTGTTATGTGACTCAGGCATTCTTTTATTTGGCTTTGCTATCTGCACTGCCTATCTCTTCTTGAAGCTCTATTCCCTTAGCAAGGTCTTCCTTGTGGCTTAAAGAACAATCAGAAGATTGCTTTCCATTTGTGCTTCATATATGTTCTCATTTGTGGCTTCTATCAACCGTCACATTTGTTAAATTTTTTTCTTATTGTTCTGTTCTTTAAGAACCATAGCTTTTCATCCAGAGCTTTGTGGTGTTCAAATAATGAATTAGTGCTTTAAGAATTTCACCTTCAGTGAAGCTGGTGGCCCTGGCATGTGATCCAGGACCGACTCGGTCACTTGGTGGCTTGGTCTGTCTGCAGGTGCCATTGTGGTGGATGCAGCCAGTCAGGTGCTCCTGGGCTCCATTCTCACCATCCTGTCCCAGGCACTCATGTATGAGAAAGGGCTTATCCAGGTGTGATAGAAGCCTCTTCCTCCAACAATAAGACGAAATATCTTGAGGCAGCAAGTAAGTCAGCTTCCTGGTCTCTTTTGTTATGCTCAGCACATTGCGAGCATCAATGGGAGACATGGGTTGTTCACAGGCTTAATTCCAAGACTGTGTTCAGCAGTCCTTGGAACTTGTGGTCCTTGGTAAAGTTTTACAGCATTACCAGGCATGGGAAAAGTTTGAGGAATTAGGACCTAGAAATGTACAGGAAGAAGTCTCATCTTCCTTTGACCAAGTTGTCAAGGTGACAGCTCAAGAGATGATTGCTCATTCTGCTGCTACCCCCATCACACATCCGTTCCATTTGATCACCCTGATATCTGTGGTAGAATTCATTGGCAGAGAGTCCAAGTACTGTGGACTTTGTGACTCCATAGCAACCATCTATTAGAAAGAGGATATCCTAGGATTTTTCGTGGGTCTTGTTCCTCGCCTCCTCAGTGACATCCTTCCTTTGTGGCTCTGTAACTTGCTGGCCTACCTCATCAATATCTATGCACTGAACAATGGCATTTACACCATGAATGAAATGAAGAGTTGTTCCCAAGCTGTCCCAGGAGTTTTTCCAGTATGCTGACATATCCCTTTGTGCTTGTCTCTAATCTCGTGGCTTTCAACAACCGTGGGCTTGCTGGCGGAAGCCCTCTTTACTCCCCAGTCTGTCCATCTTGGATAGATTGCTGGTGCATGCCACACAGAGAGAAATATGAGCCGAGGAGATAGCTCATTTTTCTGGGAGGTTCCCTTTGGGAAGACTTATTGTTGTGACCTGAGAATGTTAAGTTGAAGATATGGGGCAGGGACAGTGACATTTCTATAGTCTCAGATGCACAGAATTATAGAAGAGGATGTTGATTTCTATATAGTGTGGCATGCTTTTTTAATAATCATTTAATCTTGGGAAAATGAAAAAAAAAATTTTCACCTTCAGTAGACAGCTGGACACTGTCTACTTTTCTACCATTATCCTGAGAAATCCCCTCTGCCTAGAGACAAAGGATTCCAAACATTCTAATCATAGCAAGGTAGTGTTCTTTCTGCTTATAGTTCAGTAATTACTTCTTCTAAGAAGTGGTTCCCTGTATACATGGAGTTTTTTAGTAGGTGCCGTCTGTAAGGAATAATATTCAGGACCAACCTCATGTAATTTGCCCTGGGTTGTAGCCAACATTTCAGTCCTCATGGTGTATCTAGAAGATGATCCCTTCCTTTTAGCATTGAGGCCATTAGCTATTCAAAATGTGCATCTAGAGGACCTAATGACTGCTCCTAGTTGGCAGCCCTGTGACTGGTACATGCTGGACCAGCTCATCCCCACAAGGCCAGGTTGGACATTGGCAGAGAGGAGGAGGACTGGGCCCAGCCTGTACATCACCTTGCATTAGCTTGTCAGATATCGGGATTGTGAGCTTGAGCACCATCTATGGAATGCCAGTGTGCCTGTCTCCTCCTCTCATTTTTAAATCTCTTCCATAGTCATAAATTTCTTTAAGCATATTAAACATACATTTATTATTCACTGACAGATAATTTCAGCATCTGAAGACTTTGTAGGTCTGATTTGGATATTTGCTGATGATGCTGATTCTATTTCCTTACGATTTTGTTATTTTGGATTGTAGGCTTCTTGGTGTGCTTGTTTGTTTGTTTGTTTTTTAAGAACTTGATTTACAGAAGTCATTTGAGGCCTGAGCTGAAAGTGCCTTCTTCCAAGAAAGATTTGTATTTGTCTCTACCACAAGCCTTGGGGTCACTACCAACCCTTGACAACTTGAAAATACAATCTTGACTTGATGGTTTTAGAGTCATATAGCTAGTGTGAATTCGAGCCACAAATCCACATGAGGACCTACTTGTGATGATTAGAGGAAATTTTTTTTTTTTATCATTTTTTTATTATTATCAAGGTCAACGCAAGCCAGTTCCTCATTGTCCTTTATTGTGAAGTGGATTTTTTTCTAGGCCATGCTTATATTAAGGGTATTGCCCTTTGGGGTTTCCAGCTTTTTGCTGGAGCCTATCATTAGGGTATAGTAAAAAGTGTATTTTGGTCTTTGTTCCCAGTTCCAGTTATGGTTCCTGGCACGGAGCTCGTTGAAATTTCCTGAGTGATGGGAGTTTCTTTCATTATTCATAACAAGCCTCTTTCCACCTACCTCAGTTGTTGCTAATGAGGTGATTCTTAGATTCTTTAGGATGGGGGCTGGTTGCCAGAGAAGCCAATGAGGTGATAAGAAGGTTGAAACTTTCAGCCCCACCCCCTGACCTTGGGGAGGGAAGAGAGACAGGAGATTGAATTCAGTCACCAGCAGCCAATGATCTCATCAATCATTCCTCCATAATGAAACTTTAATGAAAACTCTTGAGAAACAAGGTTTGGGGAGTTTCTGGGTTGGTGAAAACATCCATATGTTGGGAGATTGGCCACCCCAACTTCACAAGAACAGAGAGAGCCTCCTGCACTTGGGTCCCTTCTGGACCTCACCCTATGTATCTCTTCGTCTGGCTGTTCATGTGTATCCTTTATAATAAACTGTAATGTAAATACAAGTTCCTGAGTTATTTGAGTTGTTCCAGACAATTATGAACCTGAGTTAGGGTTATGGGAACACTAGAATTTGTAATTGGCTGGGCAGAAGTACGGATAGCCTGGGGACCCCATTTTTGGTTGGTGTTTGAAGTGGAGGGCAGTCTAATGGGATTGATCCCTCAACTTGTGGGTCTGCACTGTCACCACATAGTTAGTATCAGAATTGAATGGAATCATAGGACACCCAGTTGGTGTCAGAGAATTGGAGAATCAGCGTTGTTTGAAAAACCAATCATTCAACTCCCTACTTTGGATAGGCTTTACACTTTCTCTCCCAAACCCTGTCCTATATGAGCATCAAAATGGAATCTCAATTTCAGCAAGGTTGGTCTTAGTCCATTTAGGCTGCTATAAAAAAACACCTTAGACTGCATAATTTATAAACGAGATATTTATTGCTCACAGTTCTGGAGGCTGGGAAGTCCAAGATCAAAGCACTAGCAGATTTTGTGTCTGTGAGGACTCCCTCTGCTTTGTAGATGGCGCCTTCTTTTAGGGTGGGGGGAGGGCAGGGGCTGGCCAGTAAAGGAATCTGAATTCTTGACCTTGGTGTTAACCAGCGCCAGGCTCTCCCACGTGAGCTAACCAGCCAGCCCCATGGTGCCCTCTTGCCATGTCCTCACATGGCAGAAGGGCCAAAAACTCCCTTAGGTCTGTTTCATAAGGTCACTAATCCCATTCATGAGGGCTCCACCCTTATTACCTAATCACTTCCTAAAGTCCCCACCTCTTAATACTACTGCATTGGGGATTAGGTTTCAACATACGAATTTGAGGGGACACATTCAGACCATAACAGCTGGGGAGCTGGAAGCCTCAACTCTGGATTTCCTCCCTGGATTCCCATTTCACTTCTTGACCTCTGGGGATTTTTCTGATATTCTTGCTAGCTCAGTGTGTGTTTAAGAAGATTTTATTTGTTTCATTTTGTTTTGTTTTACTTCATCCAGCATTTTTAGTAATTTTACAGCAGGATGGTTGTATCTGGTCTGCCATATTCTTTAGTTATTTCTTGGTTATTTATCTGTGTCTTATGTTAATTGTTTAGGTTTATTTGTGTTTATGATTTTAAGCCAATTTAAAATACCTTTGCAAGGTGGCATGCATTCAAATTAAAAGTTAATAAGAATAGCCTACCAGGGGAATTTTTACATGTTCTCTAATACGATCATAGAAAGGGGTGAAAACTTGGATGATCAGGAGATGGCAGGGAGTGTTTAAACTGAGCCTACAAAGATGGGTAGCGTTTCCTTAGGCCAACACGATTGAGTGAGAACATATTGGATGAAGACCAGAAAATATTTTAAACTGGGTAATAATGAAAACCCAACATGTAAGATGCAGCTAAAGTAATGTTTAGCCAGAAAATTCTGGAACCCACTTCTGTATTGTGCTAGGATAGTTTATGGATAGAGCCAGAGAGACTGAGTAACTTGTCCAGGATTGCTCAACCAAAGCTGGAATTCAAAGCCAGGCCTGCCTGATTCCAAAGCATGTATAGATTATGATGATGTTTTTACCATCCTTTTCCCATCCTGAAACCTCCATGGGATAGACATTCTTATTTTGTTAATTATTCTTTAAGGGATTAGTGATAGAAACTCTTTTGTTATTTTCCTTCCTAGGAGGAAAAAAGTAAACCAGACGTGAATTTGAAAAATCTTCAGAATGAAGAAGAGATTGATGATCCATTGGTGATTCTAAGAGCAATCTTATTACAGGTAGAGTGTGGGTGTGTGTTTGTAGATATCTCGTGTGTGTGTGTGTGTGTGTGTTTGTCTGTATGAGATTTAGTTTGTAGATATGATATTACCATTCATAGTCTTTTTTCTTAAAGATATTCTGTATGTCTCTACTTAAAATTTTTTTGTTGATGATTTTCTGGTTATAAAAGAAATACACATTCATAGTAGAAAAACAGAAAATATGTAAAGAAAACAAAAAGTGTAAATAAGCCAAATACTGACAATCATTGTTAACACTTTGGTATATATTCTTTGCCTTCTGTTTTCTTTGTGTTTATATACATATATTGAGATTGAGTTATGGATTTTTTTGGTTATTATTATTATTCATAGTCTTTTTTCTTAAAGATATTCTGTATGTCTCTACTTAAAATTTTTTTGTTGATGATTTTCTGGTTATAAAAGAAATACACATTCATAGTAGAAAAACAGAAAATATGTAAAGAAAACAAAAAGTGTAAATAAGCCAAATACTGACAATCATTGTTAACACTTTGGTATATATTCTTTGCCTTCTGTTTTCTTTGTGTTTATATACATATATTGAGATTGAGTTATGGATTTTTTTGGTTATTATTATTGTCATTTTAAACAGAATTGGGATCTACATTTTTGCACTCTGTTTTGCAGTTTACTGTTTTCCTATATTATCCTTTTAATGTCTGTAGGACCTAAAGTTATATCACCTTTTTCATTTCTCTTTTGAGGGGGGAGGCGGGTGGCTAGCCAGTACAGGGATTGAACCCTGGGACTCCGTGTTATCAGTGCCATGCTCTAATCAACTAAACTTACAGGCCAGCCTCCCCCTTTTTCATTTCCAACACTGATAACACCTCAATTATATGACTTTTAATGTTTGTTTAGTACACTGTTGTAATGATGTTATGTCTCCTTTCATTTATTTATTCATTCTTAATAAATGATTTTTCATACTTCCTAGTAGGGACCTGGCTGAGTACTTTTAACCATATTGATCTACTGCATAAGTTTGCTAGGACTGCTATAACAAAATACCACAGACTGGTTGATTTAGACAACAGAAATTTATTTTCTGACAGTTCTGGAGGCTGGAAGTCCAATATCAAGATGTCTTTCCTTAACTTGCAAATGGCCATCTCTTGCCTGTATTCTCACATGGTCTTTCCTCTGTGTGTGTGCATCTCTGGTGTTTCTTTGTGTGTCCAAATTTCCTCTTGTTATAAGGACACAAGTTAGATTGGTTTAGCGCCTACCCTAAAATGGAAAACAGCCTCATTTGAACTTTATCACCTCTTTAAAGACCCTTTCTCCAAATATAGTCACATTCTGAAGCACTGAGAATTAAAGATTCAACACATGAATTTTGGGGAGACACAGTTGAGCCTGTAACAGCCACTTAACCTCTTCTGGAACTTGTTTATCCTTCAAAACATTCAGATAAGACATTAATAATCTTTGTTTTGCACTTAAGTATGTCTTCTAAAAATCCCATATAATGTCAGGAATTTATCAAACTTCAGGATACTCTCTGGGTATTACACTTTAAATAGTTAAACTGTGGCTCATGAAAAGTGGCATAATCCAAGTTTTCTTAACTGTGGCTTGATCTACTTTTTAAAAGACTTTTTTTTATTAAAAAAATTTTTTATTATGAAATAATTGTGATTAATTCACTTACATGTTTGCTGTTCTAGGCATGTTTAACTAGATATAATCTTGTTGATCCCTTTGAATTTGTAAATGTAATTGTTTCTTATCAGATTTTCTTAAGTGACTTTGTGTTTCTTTCATAAGGAGGAGAATAATCTAATTCCTGTTGATCAGCTGGGCCAGAAACTCTTGAAAAAGATAGGATTATCTTGGAACAAGAAGTACAGAAAACAGCATGGACCACTGCGAAAGGTAATATATGTGGCATTGTCATAGGAATTTTAAGGAATTTGTTCTTTTACCTGAAGTGTCAAATTTGTTGGAATAAAGTTGCTTAAAATATCACCATATTATCCTTTTGATGTATGTAGGACCTGAAGTCAAGTTCCCTTTTTCATTTCTGATACCAATAATTTGTGCTTTTTAGCTTTCTTTTTCATTGGTCTTTCTAGGGGTTTGTCAATCTTATTAGATGTTTCAAGAAAACGGCTTTGTCCTTGTTGATTTTTCTCTCTACTTCTCATGTGTTTTCTATCAGATGATAGAGAGCTTGGCAATCACTTCCATTTTATTAGAATATTTAATTCATTTATATTTAATGTAATAAATTGATATGGTTGAGTTTGAATCTACCATCTTGCTATTTGTTTTCTATTTCTCTTCTGTTGGTTATTTTGTTCTTCCTTTTCTGCCTTCCTTTGGATCAATCAAGTAGTTTTTAGTGTTCCATTTTTATCTCCTCTGTTGGCACTTTTAGCTTTACATATTTGTTTAATTTTTTAGTGATTGATCTAGGGATTACACTATACATATATCAATATTACAAATTATAAATTAATATTATACCACTTTATGTACAATGGAAGGCACTTATAATAGTATAGTTTCATTTTCCCATTCCTATCTCTTTCTACTGTTGTCATCTTATATTTTACGATTACATATGATATAAATTCCACTATACCTTATTACTTTTGCTTTAAACACTTAAGTGACTTCTAAAGAAATTGAGGAAAAAAATGTGTTTCATATTTATCCACTCTGGTGTTTATTGTTCCTTCTTGTTTTCATTTGTATTGCTCCAAGTTTGCGTTTAGTACCCTTTTCCTTCAATCTAGAGAGCTTCCTTTAGCATTTCTTGGAGTCCAGAACTGCTGGTGGAAAATGCTGCCAGCTTTTGTTTGTGTGAAAATCTTTATTTTGCCTTCAGTTTTTAGTGATATTTTTGCTAATAAAGAATTTTAGGTTAATAGTATTTTTGTTTGGGCGTTGTTTTTTTTTCTTTTTTTGCACTTTAAAGATGTTATTATATTGTGTCTGATTTCCATTATTTTGGATGAGAAACCAACTGTCATTTTTTATTTTGTTCTCTTGAATGTAATATATCTTTTTCTCTGCTTTTAAGATTTTCTTTTTATCTTTGGTTTTCAGTGGTTTGACAATAATGTGTCTATGTATAGTGTTCCTTGTGTTTATTTGCATTGTATTTGCTAAGTTTATTTTATATTTGTGGTCTGAAATCCTTCTTCAATTTCAGAAATATGTTGGCCATTATTTCTTCAGGTGTTTTTTTGCTTCATTATTTTTCTCTTTTCCTTTAGGACTCCAATTATATATATATATTAGACCATTGATATTTCCTCACGGTGCTTGGATGTTCTGATATTTTTGTTTTGTTTTTTTCTTCTCTAGCTTTGATTTAGATAATTGCTATTGATCTGTCTTTAGGTTCAATGATTTTTTTCTGCTGACAAGCCAGTCTTCTGTTAAGCCCAACCAATAAACTTTCTGGTTTTGATGTTGTTTTTTAGCTGTAGAATTTTCGCTTAGTTCTTATTTAGAGTACCCATTTCTCTGCTGAAATTCCCCATCTCTTTACCCCTTGTGCTTATATTTCTATGTAAATTCTTTAACATACTTATAATAATTATTTGCTATTATAATATCTAGATTAATTCCGGGTCTATTTCTATTCACTTTTTTCCTCTCTGGTTTTGATGTTGTTTTTTAGCTGTAGAATTTTCGCTTAGTTCTTATTTAGAGTACCCATTTCTCTGCTGAAATTCCCCATCTCTTTACCCCTTGTGCTTATATTTCTATGTAAATTCTTTAACATACTTATAATAATTATTTGCTATTATAATATCTAGATTAATTCCGGGTCTATTTCTATTCACTTTTTTCCTCATATGAATTGACTTCTTTCCCTTGACTGTGAATCACATGATCCTATTCCTTTGCATGCCAAATGATATTTTTAATAAATTTTTATTTTTTTAATTATAAGCTGACAAATTATATTTGTACATATTTATGGAGTACAAAGTGATATTATGATTTATGAATACAATATAGAACAATTAAATCAAGTAATTAACATATCCATCACTTCAATACTTACCATTTTTGGAGTAAAAATATTTTAAATTCTTTAGTGATTTTGAAATGTATAGTACATTATCATTTACTATATTCACCATACTGTGTAGAATATCTCAAAGGAAAAAAAAAATTATTTCTTCTGTCTAATTGAGGCTTTGTAGCCTTTGATCATCATCGCTCCATTTCCTTCATTCCCATATATAATCTTATTTATATACTGGTCATTGTGGATGATGTGAAGACTCTGGATTATGTTATTTTTCCCTGAAGAGTTTTGCATTGCATTCTAATAAGCCCTTAAATTATCTTTGAATCCTTTTGATCCTGTGGAAACTTTATTTCAGGTTTTGGTAGGGTAGATCTATTGCAATTTTGCATTCAGTCCAAGAGAATACCTTTAGTCCTGGGGCATGGTCCCTCTTCTTAATGCAGGGCTTAGCAAACTATGTCCTCTGGGCAAAATGTGGCCTGCTGCTTGTTTTTGGACAGTCCCAATCCAAGAGCAATCTTTACATTTTTAAATGGTTACTTTTTATTTATTTTTTTTTAAAAGGTTATATAATATCTAACCTTAATAATGTCCTCAATTTTACCTCTAAAATATTTCCTATCTGCCTCTTTAAGAAAAAGTCTGCCATCACCTTCTAATTTGGCAGGACTGAACTCCATGCTCCTTCTACTCAGCAGCAGGCTGCTCTGTTTAGATATTGGACCTTCTAGCTGTTGCTTTATGCTGAGTTCCTTGGCATTTTGGGCTGTCCATTCACCATTTAGGAGTTAGCCAAGGACTTAGGGGGATTTGATACAAATTTGGGGCTCCTGGTAGGAGTTTTTTTTTCTTTCACTTTCTAGCCTCTCTGGTATTCTCAACTTCTGTCTCCTCAGCCCAGTGAGATTTCTGCCTTTTGCTTGAATTCCATTTCACCATGTACTGCTAGAAACTGGAAAGGGGTAGGTTGATGCAGAATTCACCTTATTTGCTCCTCTTCTTTGAAGGATGATGTCCTCTCCACTTTATGCCTACTTTTGGTTATTCTCCAAACAGTTGTTTTCATTGTTGTGTGTTGAGTTTATCATTTTTATCAGGAGGATTAGCCTAACAAGAGCTCTCTAACATTACTGGACCATACTACATGGAAGTTTGAAGGTTTTTTTAAGAGTTAATCCTCAATTATCAAACAAAGAAAAACCTGGCTATACAGAAAGTTCATTACTCAAAAGCTTTCAAATTGTTGATATTTTATTGTACCTAAAAAAATTATGTACAAAATATTGTATCATCTGTTCTCATACACAGGGTTAACAGTGTCATTGGGTCATATGCCCTATGCCCTTCTGTTTGTGATAAAGTAATACTTTTGTTTAGAGAGTTGACATTTCCACACATTACTTTCTTTCCAAGGAAACATGAGAAAGTCACTCTTCCATGTTGATTGATGAGGTGAGCAAACGTTACATTTAGCTCCCAAGTGATTTCCTATATAAAGTGAATTTGTGCTGAGAAAAAAGGAGGAGATGCAAGGCCGCCTAGAGATTGGAGAGTGAGAGGGCAGAAGAGTAGGGGTGGGATGTAGGGATAGGCGATGGTAAGAGAGATTTTTTTTTTCTCCTTATCCTTTAACAAGAACTTGAGAAATAGTCTTTAGGAAGGTGACTTATGCCTTTCTTTGCTTTGGTTTCCTGTGCTTGCCTGTCAGCTTCCAGAGAAGACTACATTCAATTTAAAAGTTCACTTAAACAATAATTTAGGCTTGTAATTATGACTTTATCACAACAGAGTCCATCTGGGTCACGAGTTTTCAAATTATCTTTTTTGGTGGTGCACTATGTGATTGCCTTTGTTTTCTGCTTTGTTTAGATCACTTTAGAATATTTCAAAAAAGTCTGTTCTACCTAATCTGTTTCAGTGAATTACTTTATTTAAACTGCATTAGTGAGGTATATTTAAAATGCTGTTTTAGTTGTGGCATGGCACCTTTCTCCCTTAATGTAAGTATTAGACTGTTTAACAAAGCAGTCTAATTTTATTAAATGTTTTCTTATATCTAAATGGATTTCTTTCCCCCTAGCTGGCCAGACCAAAAATAAAGATGATGTTAAAAGATCTAATCACAGAAAGAAAAATAAAAAAATTTTTTCATCACGTCTAATTTTTAAAAACATTTTATTAACCTAAGTATTTGGTTTTTTGTTTTTGTATAGTTCTTACAGCTCCATTCTCAGATATTTCTTCTCAGTTCAGATGAAAGTACAGTTAGTCTACTGAAGAACCATTCTTTCCAGGCTGAGCCTGATTTCCAAAGGAATGATCAAAAAATTTTCAAGACTTGCACTTCAGAAGCCCCAGGATTAAATGATAGTACCTGCTGTCCCCACTGGTTTGATATAAATGATTCCAAAGTTCAGCCAATCAAGGAAGAGGATATTAAACAGCAATTTCAGGGTAAAGAAAGTGCCTACATGTTGTTTTATCGAAAATCACAGTTGCAGAGACCCCCTGAAGGTATGAAAAGAAAAATGTTCCTACTTGTTTAAATTAATGACTTTAAAAGATCGAATACTATTTGAATTTTTACCCTTTCAAAAGAAGGTTTACTCTTGGAACATTTAAAAATATTTTAAAGGTAACAGTAAGAAATATGCCAAATGAAATCTAACAGTTTGTCATTTTATAAAGATTGTATATTTCTGTTTAATTTTCTTTCCTATAATAACGAGAGATAATAGTTACATTTTCAAAATTGGATTCTCTTGGATCACATAATATTTTCCTGTCGTGTTGGCAAACCTAAATGCAGTAGCCCTTATGCTCAGGCTTGGCTGTGTCATTCAGCCTGTATTGCCTTTGAGTTGTACGTGGCCTTGGTCTTATTTTCATATATTTCCCTTTATTTTCTTGTGTCTTTTTTCTTTTCCCTCAATGTAATGTGTTCTCTGAGCAATTGAAATATTTTTGAAGCACTTTCTGTTGAACCTTTTGAGAGAGCTCATTCCATGGAGGTTAACCATCAAGACCCATAATAATAAAAGGTATTTTTCAGTTGAAGCTGTTAACATGAATAAGTCAGGAAGACTTTTTGAAAACTTCCCAAAGTCTTTTCAAAATTAAAAAACCCTAACTAGGAAAGCATTTTAGATTGAGGCATATCTATGATTAGAGATGAGGATAATGTTCTTAGAGAATGAGAATACTAATCATTTTTATAAAGAATCAGAATAAAGCAGTTACTAATTTGCATGTGAATGAAAGGGAATTAACTTTCTAGATCTGAAACAGTTACATAACTATGCTATTAACCAGAGAGGCATTGTATTTCTGGGAGGCAATAAAAGGTACGGTAATGGTTCTGATAAAAATATTGTGAATCAGAATTCACAGTTATAGAAACATGCATTAACAGAAAAAGAATGTCTTCAGATGGAATATTAGTCTTTTTCACCAAACTGAATTTTAATATGAGCATAATTGGAAAATGTACTAAATGACAGTTTTCCAGTTAGCTTAGGAATTGAATAAAGGTCCAGCCAAAATCTTGATGGACTGTTTTTGGCATGAAGGGACAGAACTTTGCAAAATGATTCTAAAATTCACATAGAGAGGTAAAGTAATAAAAGTTGAAGAAGGGACTAGTGAGGGGTAATTTACCGTATCACTAAAAATGTGTTTATGTGTTGCACATGGCAATGAAGAAAGTGTGGTGCTAATGCAAAGAGTTGGACAGATAATTGAAATAGAGCCGTAAGCCCAGAAACTAATCTCAGCATATTTGAGATTTTAATCCATGGTAAAGTAACCTTCAGATAAATAGGGGAAAGTGAATTACTCAATAAATACAGCTGGGAATTGGTTAGTTGCTAGGGAAATAACCAAGGCGTATGCCTCTATTATACCAATCACTTAAATGAAACCATAGATCTTTTAATGTTTATGTAAAAAAGGAACCTTGAAATATGTAAAATATAAATATTTATCTGATCTTAAGGTAAAGAAGATCTTCCTAAGCTTAAAAGCAAAGAAAGAAAAGTATTAAGGAAAAGTGGTATACACCTTAAAAAGAATTAAAAGACAAATGATGGGCTGGCCGGTTAGTTCAGTTGGTTAGAGCACACCACTGTAACACCAAGGTCAAGGGTTTGGATCCCTGTACCAGACAGCAACAAAAATTAAATAAATAAAAGGCAAATGACAAACTAGTGGAAAATAGTGAAATATATGGCAACTTTATTCCCCCTATCTGTAGAGTGCTCTTACGTATATTCCTTTGTGCTCAATAGTAAATTAGGAAAAGAATATAAATAAACAGCTTACAAAAGAAGAAATTTCTATTTCTTCAAAAAGTTTTTCACCCTAACCCATAATCAAAAAAGCGTGGATTGAAATAGCATTGAGATGCCATGATGCCAGTTTTTTCCTACCAAATCAGATATTTCTATGAATCTGGTTCTCAACAGTTGACACTTCCTCCACCGCTGGTAGGTACGTAAAATAATACAACCAATTTGTATTTAAAAGCTGTAAAACTATCACACCCTCTAAACCAGTAAGTCTACTTTCACAAGTTTGTCTTGAAATAATTAGAGCTGTGAATTAATATTTATGTTCAAAGATGTTTGTTGCCCCCATTATTTTATAATAGTAGACTAATTGGAAATCACCTTAATGTCTAAGAGGAAAAGATCAGTTAGATTTATTATGCTTTTTATAGAATGGATGGCTGTGCAATCACTTATTTAAGGCTTTGGAAAATACAATATTTTAAGGCTTTGGAAAATACAATATATGAAATGAAAAAGCAAGTTACAAGTTTATTGAATATGATCCCAGTTGTTTTTTAAAAACTGTGTGTGTATGTGTATGTGTGTTGGGAGTGAGACTACAGATAGTATCCATTGCTTTTATTTTATGCTTTTAAAAACTGTTTTTAGAATTTTTTTTTTTTTTTGGTTGCTGTCCATTAGAGGGATATGAACACTTGACCTTGGTGTTATCAACACCATGCTCTAACCACACCATGCTCTAACTAACTGAGCTAACCAGCCAGCGTAATTCTTAGAATTTTTATAGTAACCAATTATTTCATTTCTAATCAGGACAATGATGTAGGTGTTCTTTTTAAAAAGTATACTTAAATAGAGTTGAAGAAATAGAATTCTTGTAACTTGGCTTAAAGAACTATCTACCTTTTGTTTGTTCTAATGTTTTCATTTTTCAGATAGGAAAACTGAGATTCAGAGAAAATTAGTATTCAAATAGCTAGTTAGTAGCAGCTTTCCGAGCTCCCAGCACAGTCCTTTCTAGTTTTCATGCTACCTCCTCAGCAACCAGATTTCATTTAGTCAAGAGAAGTTAATGAGAAGTTTTGTTCACAGCTCGAGCTAATCCAAGATACATGGTTCCATGTCATTTGCTGAATGAAATGGATGCAGCCAACATTGAACTGCAAACAAAAAGGTAATTTTAAATTACTTTTAGAGTTTGAATAGTTTTTGTATGGATTGAAGATCTAATTTAGGCCTTAACCATTTGATAATGAAAATTAAAAAGAAAAAAAAGTTAATGCTAGTATCTGTTTGGCTGCTGAATTTTTGTATTGCAGGTATCTTTTACTTTGGAATAATCCTTATCTGTGAGAGTGAATTAAATAATGACATATAAAATGGTCATTGCCAAGTAGGGATAAAAGCCTAAGAAGACTAGAGAAATCAGTGAGCACATAGTTGCGCTAAATGAATTATATTCTGGCCTGGCCAGATTATTCTCTTGGGTGCAAAGAGAGCCTGCCATTAAAATTACTTCTCATATTTCAGTAGTTGGGGAGAACTGGCATGTAGTGACAGATGTCCAGAAGTAGGCAGATTTTCAACAGGAAGGAAATATGTATTCTACAAAGTATTGTGTTTAATGTCAATCTTGGACAAAAACCTATTCTGGATTCTTAAAGAAATGGTTTGTGAAAACTTGATGATCTCAGCATTCTCTTTTGGGGCCTAATCTCAGCCCTTGTAGAACTTTATTTGCTCTGTGACAGGGTCTGTATGGTGTTGGAATAGGGAAATGGACATTCCCACAGTCTTCTTGTGGACCCAAGTGGGTTATTATGTGGCAGGGATATGCTCAACATTTTTATCCTTGACTTGGAACTGGGAGAAAAAAATAGCAGATACACCGAATGACATAAGATCAAAGGAACTCTCAACAAAAATCAAGACACTAAAAAGATAAAAATTTAACACAGTGAAATGTCTTAAGTGTAAAAAATAATCGGCATGCATGGTCTGGACTAGCAGTTAATATTAAAATAAATAAATGAAAACAGAACAGCCTGAGGGGTTTTAAGTCAGCCAGCACTAAGGTCTTTAATGTGGTCATCAAAAAAGCAAATGCTCTCTTCAACAACGGTAATAGAATTGTTAATAGAATCTGAAGTACTTGAATTGTGGTGATAAGCCTCATTCCAACTCTACATTGATCAGACTCTACCAGGGTACCGTGTTTGGCATCAATCAGCTGAGTGGATTCTGAGAAGAGCAGCCAGTGTCAGGCTCCTGCTAAGGATATTTAACCTGGAGAACATAGGCTCAGGGTGTTCATTGCTAGTGACTTCAAATATTTTATGGGAGTCTGTGGAGTCCAGTGGAAGTAAAGATGATATAGAAGTTGATAAATCTCAACTTAAAATTATGTGAGCAGATTTATAGCATTTTGTTCATAACTGTAATCTCATCCCAGGACTGGAAGATTTCAAGTGTCAGTATTTGTTCAGAGAAATGTGGTTAACATGGCATGGTCTACATTAAAACAGTTTTCCCTTTCTATTCATGGTGGCAGTTAGAGCTGAATTTTTGCTATTTATTGAAAAACCAAAATGAATCTTTTTGTCACATAGAAGAAATGGATGTTGTTTATTTAGGTAGAATGGAGAACTTATATTGTAAATCAAATATTTTTGGTTTGAGATGAAACACAGTGTCTGTTATAAAAACACTGTATTTACATACTTTTTATGCCTCTTTAAAGGGCAGAATGTGATTCTGCAAACAATGATTTTGAATTGCATCTTCACCTGGGCCCTCAATATCATTTCTTCAATGGGGCTCTACACCCAGTAGTCTCTCAAACAGAAAGCATGTGGGATTTGATCTTTGATAAAAGAAAAACTTTAGGAGATCTCCGACAATCCATATTTCAGGTAATTTAGCCTTACTTCCTCTTAATTTAGACTTTACAGTCCATCTCCAGCTGGATTCTCCATTTCATCCCATTTAGGATACAACTGTTTATTTTTTAAAGCTGCTTGGGAAAATCCTACATCAGCCTCTTCATAGAGGAATGACCCAGATGTTCTTTACTCACAAGTCTTCTAGAAAGGCTTTTCTGCATGGTTCCCACCGTCAGCTTTTCAGGTGGAAAATTGGGCCTGGTACATTTTATTTTGGTGGGGAGAAAAAGTACAAGGTTGACTCTTTTTGAGAAAATAAATAAAGGAGAATTGTTTTTCAGAGGGAGTGAGAAGTTAGAGATGAATGAGCATGTTGCTTAAAACCAAGAACTACTAAACAAAAGCGTCTAATTTTGTACTCTCCTGTATAGAATAGCATTTATTAATAAGATTCTTAAGTGAAGGAAAATATCTACTGGTCTGTAGTAAAAACATAGTTCTACTCATTATCTCCAAATAATTTATCCATCTGTATTGTAGTGATGATAAAAACAACAACCAGGGGCTGGCCGGTTAGTTCAGTTGGTGAGACACCAAGGTCAAAAGGCTTGGATCCCCGGACTGGCCAGCTGCCAAAAAAAAAGAAATACAATAATAATAACAACAATAGTGCTCTCTGTTTTACTTACAGTGCTTTCATAAAAAGTTCCTTAACCTCATGAGTGTAAACTAACCCCATTGTGAAGATGAAGAAATTGTAATTCAGAGAGATTAGTGTATTGCCCGTGGTCAGACATCTAGTTAGTGTTGAAACTGGGACTCAGCTCTGGTCTCCCTGCTCTTCATCTGGTCGTCTTCCCTCTCAGTCACACTTCTTCATCCCACACTACTTACTTCCTGATCAAGGGAAAAGGAAATTTAAAAAATGTAAGCGTTTGGGTTTTTTCCCTGAAATAAATGAATTTTTTGAAAAATTATATCACTAAAATTATTAGCTTTCTTCGGATTTTCTTCTCCTACTAAGAAAAACAAACCATTTTTTTTTTTTTTTTTTTTTTTTTACTTGGTGTTGTCAGCACCACGCTCTCCCAAGTGAGCCATGGGCCGGCCCTCAATTTGTTTTTTAACTTTGGTTGATTTTAATGTTCTTTAAATGCTGGATCAGTATCAGGATTTCTAAAATTGTCTTATATTTCTCAGCTTTTGCATTAAAAGTTTATTTCTGAGCCAATTGTGGCAGTGTTGATGTAGGTGGAGTTGGGGGTCTGAACCTGTCTAGGGTGACATTTCAAGTGGAAAAGACATTATTCATCTTCATAAGTTTTAGATATATTCTAGTCTCTTCTTTAGGTGTTTTGAGTATCCATCTCTACTAACTGGTATCTTAGAAGTAAGCCACTGGCAAAAAGTGAAACTGACATAGTAAACGAATAACATATAAATATGAAATTTCTTTTTAAGAGAAATATCTTATGGTATTATGGAGAAGGACTAGATAGAAATGACCTTTATGGGTAATATTATTTTGGTATGGTTACCACCAGCCTCAGAGTCTCAGACCTAGAAACTTAAAGAACAAACCCCTGATAGTCTATTATATAAACTGGTAATGCTGCTTTTTAAATTAACAGTGGGCGTCATTCCTTTCAGGTAAATAGAATATGAGTGCATGCCAGAAGCAGTGCTGCTTTTTCCTGACCAGTGCTAATTAAACAATTTTTGCTCTTTTGGACAAAAACTTCTAGGCTGGCATGCTGATAACTTTGCCTTCTGATAAAAGTTTTCTTCACAAATTAAGTAGAATTGTTTAGATGGTTGTTGTGCTCTTAGGAGATGCCAGAATTCTTCAGTCAGTAATGGAGATTAGCCATCTTTGGATTTGACTAATTTAACAAGTGATGTCTTATTACCGATTTCTGGTGTTGGGTAGGGATGGATGAATTCATTTGCTTGATCCCTGTATCATCTACATACGTAAATTGGCCCAGGGCTATTCTTATTTAACCTGGAAATGTGATATGTACTTTTCATTGCACTCTTCTCTTTCATTAATACTCTTTAGCTGTTAGAATTTTGGGAAGGAGACATGGTTCTTAGTGTCGCAAAGCTTGTACCAGCAGGACTTCACCTTTATCAGACACTTGATGGTAAGATAAATATGGAACACAGCATCTCACTTTATATAGATTTATATTTTGTGGCACTGCTCTGTGATTTTCTGCTCTTTGCCAGGCCTTCTCTCACCTGCTCTTTCTTACCTATGTAGATTATCATCACATTTCTTATCCTGTTGTCAGTTTTCATAAAGAAGTAGCTTATCCAGTTTATAATGTATCCAATTTATATGCCGTGTGAAATTTGTCTAACATGGAAACATTTTATGTTTTCTGAAATTAATGCTACCTCTCTACCAAAAATTTTTTAAAGGCTTCAGAATTTTTTTTACATTACCACAAATTTTTGAGCAAAGTGGTTTAAAACCATTTGAATCTTATTTACATGGCTTGACTTTCTACCCAACTCTCAGCTTCAGATTTTGCTGCAAAACAAAGAAAAATACTTTGAGTTCAAAAGTATTTACTTCCTTTAAATAACAACAAAACGATAATAACAGTAGCAAGAGTAACGTTTATTTTGGGCTTCGCTATGCCAAATATTGTGCTAAGTGTTTTATATGAATTATCTCATTTGATTTTCACAAAATTATTTTAAAATGAGAAAACTGAAGCTGAGAGACTTGAAGCACACAAGGACATACAGCTAATTTGTGGTGGAGCTCAGACCATTGGATACCTGAGCCTAACTCCTGTTCACAGTGTCATATGCCTCAAGTACAGCTGGCCTTTGTAGTAACTCTTTGTCCTTCTATCATGCTTATGGAACAGCATTTTAAAATAAAAATAAAAACAACATAAAATATCAGTATAATAATAATTACTGCTTTTTGCTTAATTTTCCTTAATAAGAATTCATTTTCAAACAAATATTTAAGTGTCTCAGCTCTTTCTTTAGCTAAATTGTTTTTGATGACCATGATGAATGGTTTCACTGATGATGTCATCTTTCTAGGAGATGAACTGACACTGTGTGAAACTGAAATTGCTGATGGGGAAGACATCTTTGTATGGAATGGGGTGGAGGTAAAAATCTACTGAAGAAGTACTCGTGATAATTTTGGATTTTTTAAAAGTCATTGTAATGTTATTTTATTCAGCATACGTGAAGGCAATTAGATATTTAAAAACTGCTGAAATGGGGCCAAGCCCGTGGCGCACTCGGGAGAGTGCAGCGCTGGGAGCACAGCAGCGCTGGGAGCACAGCAGCGCTCCCGCCGCGGGTTCGGATCCTATTTAGGGATGGCCCATGCGCTCACTGGCTGAGCGCGGTGCGGCCTGTCTCAAAAAGGACAAAAAAAAAAAAAAAGAAAAGAAAAACTGCTGAAATGTTCACTAAATTTTAGGTGCAGTCAGGGTTAGTTGGATGTTAGGGAACGAAGGTGGCCTGGTGGAGGAGAGGGAATTTTCTCTTGCAGGGAGAGGGCGAGGAGCATCTCAGTCCACTCTGTGGACTGTCCTTGATCCATTGCATATATTTCTAAGGCTTCATCACCACCAGTAATAACTCATAAATCTCTGTCTCCAGCCCAGATTTCTCTCCTAAAAAATAAAAGATGAATAAGAGAAAGTTTCAAAAGAAAAATCTAAAGTTCTTCTTCTGATACTTAAAAGACACTTGTGAAAATTTTATTTTACTTGGAAAAAATGAGGGTTGTTCTACAACAGTAGTCTTTTTACTGTGTTGTTATGTTGACTGAATTTTGGCAAATATAAACTATATTAATAGTTGTCTTGACATTATTGCAGGTTGGCGGAATCCAGATTCAAACTGGTATTGACTGCGAACCTCTGGTTTTAAATGTTCTTCATCTAGAAACAAGCAGGCAAGGAGAAAATTGTCAGCAGATAGTAGAAGCTCCACATGTCTTTCCTTCTAACGCAGAAGTGGGCACTCTGTTCACAGCCTTAGCAATGCCAGTAGGTGTCCTCCTCACAAGCAGTGCTGAGTCTGCAGGTGAAGAGAGATGGGCTGCTGTTCCCAAAGAGGACATGAAGAAGACATTCAGAGAACTAGGTCTCAGAAACGGAAGCTCGATTTTAATTCAGGATTCTAAAAATGATAACAGGTAACTCACTAAAAAGAGAAAAAGAGGGAGTTTTTTAAAAATTATTTTAATTGCAGTACTGTCTAGTAAAACCCCAAAGCTTTATTTATTTATTTTTGACAGCTGGCTGGTAGAGGGATCTGAACCCTTGACTTTGGTATTATAACACTGAGTTCTAACCAACTGAGCTAACTGGCCAGCCCCCCAAAGCTTTATTTTAATGATAAGAGTTAAATGTTTCTTTATTTCTAGACATGATGTGCTAAATATTGTACATAGGATTATTTTAAGTTATGCAACTTAGAGAAAAAAATGATGTTGTAAAGTGATTTTTTTGGTAAATATGGTGATAAAATAATACAGGTATCCCTGGTTTTATGGAATAGATACAGTCTTAATAAGTTGGCCATAAAGCAAAATCCTATCAAATTGAATTCTGATTAGCACCAATTTTAGAAAACTAAAGGCACATTTTCACAAAGAAAATTCTTGAAGTTTTTCATGAGAAAGGTATTAAGATCATGGCTAAATTGTGTCTGGATATTTTGTTACAAGAGACCAATAAAACAATTCAGTTTATCCTTATAATCCTTTTTTATGACTCTTGAAAGCCTCCCAGCTGAATCTTGTAGTCACATTTGAAGTTCAGAGGTGCTACATCTCCAGTTTTGTCATCCATGTGTGTGAGGGTACATTTCTGTAGCTGTTGTGTCATATACTGTAAAGTCCCACATTTCCATCTATTGCGGACATTAAGTTCCCTACCTTATCAGTACTGTGAATACACTCAGATTGTAGAAACTTTGTATTATTTATAGTGGAAGAGAAGCAGAGCACTTATGAACTGTGTTTTCTTGGTATTATATTTATCACTATGGCTCTTTTGGACAGGTGTTTTCCAGACATACACTTCCCTACCTTATTTATAAGAAAGTTTATTATATGTTTCCTTATAAAAGGTGACATACATTTATTAGGACTTGGGAAATGCAGACATGAAAACAGAAGAAACCCAAAACTGCATCCCTCTACCAACCATGCAGTGTCGATCACTGTTAGCATCTGGGTGGCTTTCCTTTATTTCTGAACTCATTATTGTTTTTTTGTTTTGAAGTTTTTTCTTTTTAGACACGATGACTATTTTGCAGATAAATAGTTGTATTTTGTGCACCGCTCCCCATGTTTGTAGACACTTTATAACCTCATTTGATGGCTACGTAATAATCTGTGTTGACATTATTCTTTGCCTAACCGTGCTCCTGCATGAGGCAGAACGGTGTGTTGGGTAGGGGCGAGCACTCTGGAGCCAGCTGCCTGCGTTGCTTCCCAGCTTGACCATTTACTCACAGTGTGACCTTGGGCAAATTATTTCCTCTCTCTACTCAGTTTCTTCTGTAAAGTGGGGATATTAATTAGCACCAACTTCATAGAGTTGTAAGGACTGAGAGAGTTAAGTGCTTACAAAGTGTCTGCACCTCGTTGGTGCTGAATGTTTTAGGTAATATCTTTGTCATCAATGTCATCATCATCATCATTGTGTACTTAAAACTTTGTTATATTTAGGATTGCTGACTTGAAATGGAACCCCATAGAGGAATAACTAAAATAAAGGGTGGAATTGTGTTTTAGGGCTCTGATATACTCTCCTGCGAGGCCATTCAGTGCTTCTGTGTGAATTAGAAGGAAGTTACCCCTTCCTCAAGACCATTTACTACTCTCTGTAGGAAAATTTTATTAGAACAAGATACTCTGTTGCCAGTGGTTATCATTAACCAAAGCTCTATCATAAAAATACAGATATATAATGTACATAACACATACGATACCCCTTAGATATGGAAATTTCGTGCAGTGTTAGTCTGCACAAATGTACTTGGCTGCCCTGTTGTTAAACTAAGTCCAAATCCTGTGGGGTGGGCTTCTGGCATAGATACTCTTTTAAAGCTCCTTAGTGATTCTAGTGTGCAGACAGAAGTTAACAGTTGATTGTTTGATTACAACAGTTCTCTTTGAAAAATGTGGCAACGAATTATTTGTGTAAGTGAAAAGATATTTGGAGTCAGGAATATAGACTCCGTAGGCTGCCCAACATCACCCTGAAAAGCTAGCCAACTTTTGTAGAGACAACTTAGTAGAACTTGGTCACCTTTAATTAGTCACATTAAGGGACACATGGAGAGTTTTGGAAGTGGTGCCTAAGGAACAGTATTAATTTTCTGATCCTTTCTGATCCATAAAAGTACTTTGTAAAGACGTGTTTTTAAAATATCTTCACCTACAGTTTGTTGCCCAAACAAGGGAAACAGAGCCCTAGTGTGAATGAGATGGACTGGCTCCAAGTTAAAAATTTATGCCAATTAGAATCTGAAGAGAAGCAAGTTAAAATATCAGCAACTGTTAACACAGTAAGTAGATGATAATTAAAGTTTGGCTAACAGTTTTTTAGTAAGCAGATTTTTATTTAGAAAGCAATGCCTTAATCTTTCAGAACAGTTGTCTTAATAGACTTCTAAGTCTTAAGAAGTCAACTTGTTATTTTTAACATTTGATTATTACTTGTTTATCTATATTAGCCCTCGACATATCTCAAAAAAATATGTGCCCTTTAAAGAAAATTCCAACACCTAGTATTAGAATGTGGGAGCTACCTATTTAGTTTGTGGAATCCTCTGGCTTTGATAGATATAAAATTCTGTTTTCAAGGGTCTTTTCCATATTTTTTAAACTGGAAATATATGTTATGTTTTTGTGTTATGGGTTTTTATTTTTTAAGTTTATCTTAAATTACTCCACATTATACAAGAGACTTCAAAAAGTCTTTTTGTGGAAAAATAGAATTAAAAGATAATATAGTATTTCTATGAACTGTATGAAGACCCCCTCACACTCTGCTCTGTATAAAGCCAGCTGCTCATAAAGGAATTCCTTCCATCTTCCATTTGAAGAGGATGATATTGGTTTCCTTAAATATTATCTCAGGAAATTTCTTTTTATATTCATGTACTCCCAATTTATTAAGTTTTTTTTCTATAATAACAGAAATGTATTAGAATATTGTTTTCTTTTATACAAATATTATAATTTCTTAAGGTGCATTAACAACATTTGTTGATACGATAGTATAAGGTCAATATACTAACACTTAGGAGATCTACTTCTCTGACCATAAGTGATTGACTTTGGTGAAATCCTTTATTACTTTAGTCTGTTTCTTCTTGGCACAATGTGGGGTACTGGTGGGAGTCAGAGAAAATGATCACTGATACAAGTTTTACCCCTAAATTTCCAAGATTTTGTGCCCTAGAGGAAATTAACCTGACCTAAAAACGAAAACAATCTAAAATAAAGTAATTTAAATAGAAATTTTAAATAGTACCCTTGGATTGGTGTTATACATTTAATATTATTTATGCTTATTGGCCCCGAATTCATTCTTCCTAAAACAGAGAAGTGTGATTGCCTGCAGTTTCTTTTGTTTCTTTTGTTTTCTCCCAAAATAAAGGTTAGTGGTTTGTCAGTATATTGCCTTTTCAGGTAGAATTGTTTTTTTACTTTTCTGTAGGTATTCATTCTATCCCAATTAATATTAACTTGGCAAAAACTACTAAATGTCAGGTATATCTCAAATAATTCTAAGTGCACACTGATGATCTTCATTTTCGTCTCCTCCATTGTTTTCAACTTGTACACAGTCATTAGTTTATTTCTCTATTTTAGGTGGTGCTTGATATTCGAATTAAAGCCATAAAGGAATTTAAATTAATGAAGGAACTAGGTAATCATTTATGTTTGCTTTTTGGTTTTTTGTTTAATTTAGTTCTGATTTTTTATTAAAAAAAATATGAGACAGTACAAGAAATAATTTAGGGAAAACTCATCCACTTACCACCCAAAATGGACAAATGTTAACATTTTGTCATGTTTGTTTTTGTTTGAAACATTATAAATAAAGTTAAAGTCCTCTGTGTTCTCCTCAGTCTCTTCTCTCTCCCTCCCCAGATACAAGCAGCATGTCTAATATGGGTGTGTATCTAGTCCACATATTCATATTGTACTGTGTATATTATATTTACATGTATGTGTATATGTATGAGGTACTTCAAAAGGTTTGTGGAAAAATAGAATTAAAAGATAATACAAATCTTTCCATCAACTTTTTGAAGTACCTTCATATGTATTGCATTATTACATTTACATAAATTCTATCATACTGAATTGTTATTTTGTTAACTCGCTTATTCACCCACGATTAGGTTTTCCTTAACACCTTTATTGAGGTATAATTTACATTCCATAAATTTCACTCATTTTAAGTGTATAATTCAGTGATCGTCAGTAAATGTATAGGGTTGTACAACCATCACCACAATCCAGTTCTAGAATATTTCCATCCCTCCAAAATGATCTGTTGTGCTTATTTGTATTCGGAGCCCCTAGCAATCACTAATATGTGTGGTGTCTTTATAGACTTGATTTCCTGGACATTTCACATAAATAGAAACATACAATATGTAGTCTTTTGTGTCAGGCTTCTTTCATTTAGCATACCATTTTTGAGGTTCATCCATGATTTAGCACATATCAGTGGTTTGTTCCTTTTTATTGCTGAATAGTATTCCATTGTATGGATTTATCACATTTTGTTTATCCATTCCCCAGTTGATGGACATTTGACTTGTCTGTACTTCTAGACTTTTATGAATAATGCTGCTATAAACATATGCATATAAGTCTTTGTATGGACATATGTTTTCAGTTCTCTTAGGTAGATACACATGATTGGAATTACTAGGTAACATAGCGAATTTATGTTGAACTCTATAAGAAACTGCCGTACTATTTTCCAAAGTGGCTGTACCATTTACATTCTCACTAGCAAAGTATCAGGGTTGCAGTTTTTCCACATCCTTGCCAGTATCTGTATCTGTGATTGTCCTTTTGATTATAGCCATTCTAGTGAATGTGAATTGGTTTCTCTTTGTGTGTAAATTGAGCAAGAACTCAAAATCAATATACAGAAACCATTGTATTTTTATCTACGAGCAACAACAACAAAAAAAGGACTTTGAAATTAAGAAAACATAATAGCATAAAATATCTTGAAATACTTAGGAATAAATTTAACAAAATATGTGCAAGATCTGTACACTGACAACTAGAAAACATTGCTGTGAGAAATTAAAGAAGAACTGAATAAATTAAGTGATGTACCATGTTTGTGGATCAGAAGACACAATATTGTTGAAAGGAAAATTCTCCCCAAATCAATTTGTAGATTCAATGTATTCTCACTCAGAATCCTAGCAGTTTTTTTGTTAGAAATTGACAAGATGATTCTAAAATTTATATGGAAATGCAAAGAACCTAATGTAGTCATAATAATTTTGGGGAAAAAAAAAACGAACAAGTTGGAAAAGTTACACTATCTGATTTCAAGACATACTCTAGACAGTATACATTGGCAGTAGAAAGTAGAAATATAGAGGTCAGCAAACTATGGCCTATGCCCTGTTTTTGTATAGCCAGTTTATAGTTTTACACTATTAATGGGCTGTTTAAAGAAGAAGAATGTGCAACAGAGATCATATGTAGCCCATGAAGCTAAAATATTTACAGTGGAACTAAATAGAGAATCCAGAGATAGGTGCACACATAATCAGTTGACTTTCAACAAAGGTGCAAAAATATTTCCATGGGGAAAGATAGTATATTTTCAACAAATAGTGCTAGATCATTTGGTTATCCATATGTGCAAAAATGAACCTCAAGGTTTACCTCATGTGATGTAAAAAGTTAACTCAAAATGGATCATACCTGAAACTAAAATTTCTAGGAGAAAACATATGAGAAAATCCTTGTTACTTTACCATAGAGGAAGGGTTTTTTGTTTTGTTTTGTTTTTAAGATAAGACTCAAAAAGCACAAACCATGAAATAAAAATTAACAAATGGGACTACATCAAAGTTTAAAACTATTGCTCTTCAAATGGTATTTGAAAAGGCAAGCCACAAACTGGAAGCAAATATTTATAAAACACATATTTGACAATGGACTTGCATCCAGAAAATAAAAAATACTTGTACACTAATCAGAAGACAGACAACTCATTCTGAATTGGGAACACTAAACAGACACTTTACAAAAGACGACCTACCCACAAATGACTAATAAGTACAGAGAAAGATGATCAGTGGCATTAGCCATCAAATTAAAACCATAATGACACACCTCTGTGCACCCAGTGGAGTAGTTAGAATTTAAAGTACTGACAAAACCCAGTGTTAGCTAAGATGTGAAGCAACTGGACCTCCTATGTGTTGCTGGCAGAAGTGCAAAATGGGTACAGTCACTTTGGAAAGTTAACTTGTTTCTTATAAATTTAAGCCTTCACTTACCAATTCTACTTCTAGACATTTACTGAAGAAAAGTTAAAAAGTATTTTCTTGCGAAGATGTAAACGTCCATGAACATAAAGTAGAAACAATGCAAGTTGCCATGAGCAGATGGATGGATGAGCAAATTGAGGTGCATCCAAACAGTGGGATACTAGGGGCCGGCCCGTGGCTCACTTGGGAGAGTGTGGTGCTGACAACACCAAGTCAAGGGTTAAGATCCCTTGCTGGTCATCTTTAAAAAAATCAAAAAAACAGTGGGATACTGCTCAGCACCGAAAGGCAGTGAGCTGCTAGTTCCACCCAATGCAAAACACAGACAAGTCTCAGTCGCTGTGCCAAGTGAAGGAAGGCAGACACAGAAGAGTACATACCGTATGATTTCCTACATATGAAATTTAGAAAAAGTTACGGAGGGATGGGGGTTGAAGGATTGACTGCAAAGTGGCGCCAGGGAATTTTGGGGGGTGATGTGAATTACATCTGTTTGCTGGTGGCTGCCAGATGTTTATTTATCAAATTCTATGAACTGTACACTTAGACTGGATGTGTTTTATCATAAGTAAATTATACCTCAGTAAAGTTTGTTAAAAGTATATATTTTATTAAAATGGTTCACCTTCTTCCCCATCACTGGTCTCCCTTCCACTCGTGCTCCCCTTAAACCATTCTTCACATAGCAAATGATCTTCATAAATATATGTGAATTGGATCATGTCACTCTTCTGCTCAAAGCTATTTTGTGCTTTTCCATTGTACTTCGGCTAATTCCTTATCTTAGCCTATGAGAACCTGCATGATCTGATCCTGATCCACTTTTCTGCTTATTCACAACACACTGTCCATGCTGACTTGTGTGAGTTTCTTGGTGCACGAATAAGCTCTTTTCCACTCCTGAGACCTTTTAGTGCTGTGATCTCTCTTTCAGCTCCTCTCCCTTCACTCTTTACCTACTAACTTCAGCTATTGAGCTGAAATGTTACTTCCTTTTATCCCTGACCACATGATCTCCATTAATCTCTGTTTTACTCTCATAACACGCTTTTCCTTCACAGCAGTTATCGCTGTAACTGCCTTTTTATTTGTTATCAACATCTGCCTCTCTTAGGCCAGGGTCTGTGAGGGCAGAGTCCATGGCTGTTTTGCTTACTGCTGTGTCACCTGCTTCTGGTACAGTGCCTGGCACATAGAAGATACACAATAAGTGTTGAATGAAAGTAAAAAGGTTTAAAGGAGATATTATTTAAAATGCACTCCTTAAATTGGGGAACTCTTCATAAACTGTTTCAGCTGACAAGAAATTTGTATTAGAATTATATGCTAATATTATTATAGTATAAGATATTAAACTCAAGAATCTCAGAAAGAGCCAATGTCAAGGATTCAGATATCCTTACTGGCCAGCTGCCAAAAAAAAAAAAAAAAAAAAAACTGACAAGAAATTTGTATTAGAATTATATGCTAATATTATTATAGTATAAGATATTAAACTCAAGAATCTCAGAAAGAGCCAATGTCAAGGATTCAGATATCCTTACTGGCCAGCTGCAAAAAAAAAAAAAAAAAAAGAATCTCAGAAAGAGATTCTGCTATTGTCTAATAAAGTTAGAACTTCTGAGGCACATGCCATTCTTTCCTATTCAAAAGGCTTCATACCCTCCCCTCCCCAATTCATGTCCTACTTTATAAGAATTGTGTTTAGAATGAAAAATTGATGTGTTCCTTCCCACAAAAGAAATCTGCATCCTCAAAAATAGTGCACGCTGGCCCTAATCCATTTAATAAGCATAAAACCACCCAACATATCTTAAATATAGAGTCTGCTTTGCACAGTTCTGGTGTGCATCAGTTTCAGTTACCACATATAGTTAACATAATATCAGTCCCCCACATGGTTCACATTTCAGCAAACTTGGTATATTAGCTGTGAATAACTGAATAAAGCACACACTTGGCTACTAGTTCTGCAGTCCACACATCACACGTAAATACAAGTGGTGTGCCAAGACCAGTGACCAGTCACTGCCCTTCTTTCAAGTCTGTCAGTGGTTGCATTGCACATCTGTTGTACAGTTCACCACATAGACAGCAAAGCGTGTAGTTGTATTGCCTCCTTTTCTCCCAGCAATAACCCACATGACATTTTACAAGAATGGATAACTGAAAAAGGGAATTGGCTGACAGAGGAAAGTGCACAAAAAAACAACAGTATATGGAGTTATGAAAGAAGCAGCTGCCCATGGGAATGTTGACACTACTGTCACTTAAGAGACTCTAGATATGCATCGAGGAACTTGGCGAAGGTGAATTTACCGACATAAGTGAGGAAAGTGGTCGTGACACAAAGGTTGACAGTGTCCCAGCAGAAGTGACACTGGCAAAAACTTCCCATTAAAGGAGCTCTCAAAGATATTGCATGACATTGAAAGTGCAAAATATCAAATATTGGAAGCTGATACAGACTTAGAAAGGGGTATGACAGTTCACCCTGGGGGTAGGAAAATGCTCACTCTCTATCATAAGCTGTACAATGAGAAGAAGCAAGCCCTGTTTAAACTACTCTTGATAATGGGTTGTACAAAGACATAAAACGGTTTCATTCTCAGAGTTTCTAGTGTTTTAAATTACAGGGTAAATATTAGTTTTACAGTTTTTTGGGGTTTTTTTCCCAATACATGTATAACCAACAGAGTTTCAAGTGTTTCGGCAAAAATTTTTAAAACTCATGTAATAATTGAATTTTTTTCCATTGATTATTAAGGTTGTTTTGTTCAGATTGCTCAGTTTTGGCTTGTAATTTTACAGTCCTGCCCTACTGCGCAAAGCAAAGAGTGCCTGTATTTGGGTTTTTTGGGGGGTGGGGTGGGGTTGGTTGTTGGGAGGTTTTTTGTTTTCTGTTTTGGTTTTTTTAGCTTATTGTAGCTTCCTGCTAATTAGCACAATAGAGCATCTCTCTTTACTTTTCTTTGCTGTGCTAACCAGCTCCTTTTTATTTATAGCTGAGAACAGCTGTTTGAGACCTATTGATAGAAATGGGAAGCTTCTTTGTCCAGGTAAATTTTTTTGGTAGTTTTCAAATGATAACATACACTCACACCATGTGTCTTTCTGAACATTCTTACTTTAAATAATGGCTTCCAATACCTAATATTTTTAAATTACCTTTTAGAAACTGATTTATAGGACATATTTTCATTCAGGAATCTCACTCATATATTACAGAAAACCTTAACCTGAAAAATAAACACTTCTGTTTTTTGACATGAAGCACCCATCTTTCTGATTATCTGATCCTCATTTTAGTCACAGTTTTGATCTAGTTATGTCTTTCTAGCTTCATTTTTAAAGTTTTTCTGTTTGATTTGCTGATTTTATTGTGATGCCGGTCATGAAATAGAATCGTTGGTTCTCACCTCTGTAACCTCTCTTGTTATTAGACTTAATTTAATCATGGACAAGCCTAATTATTGATGGTAGTCACAATCTCAACTTTAAACTTGGAAGAAGCTGACCACCATTTATGGATCGATTTGGAATATGTGGCTTTTAATCGATATAAATAACAGCTCCTTGAAAAAGTCATTTTTATTAAGTAGGAACTTAGAACATTCATAGCTGCCTCTTAGTACTGTTGTACAGACAGAGAGAATAACGTATTCTAGAGCATGGAAGCTGAACCTCAAGCATAACCATAGTGCACGTAGTCCTTTTAAAATGTGCAACTCATTTTTCTTTCTTGATTTTCAAAGAAAGACTGATTTCAGTATATTGTTTTGCTTGGAGCAGTAGGATTAATAATATTCATTATGTTATCAAAATTCTTTATAGTGCCAGACAGTTATACTTTGAAGGAAGCAGAGTTGAAGATGGGGAGTTCATTGGGACTGTGTCTTGGAAAAGCACCCACTTCCTCTCAGGTAAAATAAGGTCACCTGTCAAAACGAAATCAACTCTTCCATAACCAGAATGTCTTAATTTTATAATTAGTACCTTAACTACTCCAATAATATTGTTTTTCTCTGTAAGTTTTTTTCCTTAAATGATGCACTTTATTTTAGGAATACATCTGTATAGTTTTCTGTGTTTAAATAAAAAATATTATGCCAAAGTATATTCATATGGTTCTTTTTCTGTGAAAATTTTGTGTTAAGAGGGATTTTTAAGGCTGAGTGGCCACCAGTTTCAAACACTGTACTTTATAAATTTTAAGATGCACCTTTTTTCCCCCACATTTTAACATCTTAGAGGTTAGATTGCATCTTAGTCCGTGACTTCCTGCATTTATAGCAACACTGTTTTGTTCTTCTTTTTTTAATGGTGCAGAAAATAATGAATCTACCAACCAATGGCATTTTAGGTTTAATAAAACAGTATATTGATTCTGGGCTTAATTACTCTCTGCAGTAATAACATCAGCCTCCCTTACCCCTTGTCTTCATCAGTATTCATTTTTTTGTGTAAAATATCAGGTTGGTCTTTATCAGAAACCCTACCTACTTAATATTCTTTTATTACACTCCAGAAGTCATAGTGACATCCTTATTGTTAAATACCCTGTATCGAGGTAATCTGGACTCATCACATGTTCCCATGGTTCCTGGATCTACTTCATTAATTTCCCAACTACTTCCCTTTTAATTTATTTTCCCCTGAACTCTAGCAAATAGTTGTGCATGACAACCTGAAAGCAGAGAAAACATGACAAGTGAGGTTGAGTTAGAAAAAAAAAAAAGCAGGGCTATAAGGAACTGAATCAGTAGGAGATCAGATTTATATTTTTCCTTTGGGGTCTTGGGAATTATAGTATATAGAAAATAAAATCATAACCAAATGACTCAGAGAAAAAAACAAAGTTTTTGCTTACTGTGTGTAATAATTGTAAATTCCTTTTGGGAGTGACTGAGACAAAGATGGAGATCAAAGCAGAAGAAATAGTATCCATGAGAGATGTTTATTAGAAGTAAAAACATTGATGATGAAGCATTTTATATTTCTAGGTAGGCAAGATTATTGTTTATATTGTAACATTAAATTACTCAACATAGTCTTGTTTTTAAATAATTTGAGATTTTTTTTTTTAAGTTTTGTAGACACTTGGCTTTACTTTTTTGGAAGTAAATAATGCGTTTATAGAATTTTAAAATCCAGATTAAATTGCACTCATACTTCTGTCTTGATCTTAGCTGTTCCTGTTTTTTGCTATGGGGAGTAATGTTCAACCTGGGACAGAGATGGAAATCATAGTAGAAGAAACAACATCTGTGAGAGATGTAAGTAATTTTACTTTTTGTTCAGGGACTGTGGGTGTTTGGGTATGGGAAGAAGTGGTATCATGTGTTAGGATTTGTAGATCCTAAAGCTACAGCTTACATAATATCCTTCAAGGAATTATATGTACTCACTAGAGTAGCTTTGGAAGCTTGAAAATTGGTGAACCAACTGGAATTTTTAAGTAATATTACAATTTTTTTCTCCTTTTCTGATTATCAGTAATACTTGTTTATTATAGAAATTTGGAATATGCAGAAATAGATTAAAAGAAAAAAAAGAAACCCCCTTAATATTCTTTATCCCACCAATATTAACATTTTGGCATATTTCCTTCTGATAGTTTTACTTTGTATACACACACAATCACATGACAGGAATTAATGTTTATATACATGTATGTGTGTGACAAAACAAATGAGTAATTATGTTGGTGTTATTGAGAACTGGGACTTTCAATATAGAAAATGGAGAGACAGATAAAATCCATGTGGTTAAATAAAAACTTGTTCTCCTAAATTTGAATTAGAGAGTATGAATGAACTTCATGTATTTTTTATTAAATTTTTTTTCTAGCTCTGTCCTGACACAGCTTAGAAATAATGATCAACCTGGTAGAAGCAAGTACCCCTAGCAGCCAAATTATGGTTGCTAAATACCATTTCCTACTACAAGGAACTGGGGCCAGCTCTACATCTAGGTCAGGAAGTGTATAAAATGAGCCTGGAGTAGTACCTTGTCATCACAGAAGGCAGTGAAGCTACTAACAAAGGCTATTGGAATTGTCAAAGAGACTGAAGAGACCACTAGTCAAAGATAAGACAATTCGAATATCAGTGAGAATAATAATTAAAATTGATTGAAACATATACATAAAATCTGTGAGTTCATAATGATTCTAAAAGAAAATATTCACTGGTTACCTATCGTGGATGCTAGGGAACCATAAAGGCCAAAAAAAGTCAAGCATTTATCCTGTTTTTCCTTTGCAAACTATAGCTCAGGGTAACTGAGTAGATAATGAAAAGGTTTTCTTCATAAACATATTCCAACTATTAAATGAAGAAGGAATTTTAGAATATCACAATTTTTCAACTCCTAATAAATTAATGGATCTAGGCAATGATCCTCAAAGAACTGCTAACAACCAAAAAAATACCAACACTCAGACATTATAGAAGTTCAGAATAATACCCGTGCTCTTCTTGCAAAAAACAGAAACTGGACCTGAGTCTGATCAAGCCTCTAGGTCTAACTACCAGTTAGTAAGAAATACAGGAGATGTAGGAACATATTAAATGTACCAAAGGTCTGCAGTCAACAAAATCCAGATTGGAAAACTCTTCAACAAATACATTGCATGGGTTGGGGGCACCTATAGGTTAAAAGAGGCTTAAGATAAATAGTAACCAGTTACAATGTATGGACTTTATTTGGGCTTTGATTCAAGCCAAACGAGCTTTAAGTAGTAATAATTTAAGAGAAAGAGAAATTTGAACATTGGCTGGATATTTATTAATATTAAGGAATTCTTAATTTTCTTATATATCATAATCATTTTAGGGTTATGTTTTTTAACAAAATGCTTATCTTTTAGAGATGCATACTGAATATTTACAAATGAAATAATATGATATCTGGTATTTGCTTTAAAAAGATCTGGGGGAAGGATAGTAGAAGTGTGTGGGGGACTAACAAACAAGACTGGCCGTGGCAATAATTGACACTGATTGATGTGTACTTGAGGTTCCTTTTACTATTCTCAGCATGTGATTGAAATTTTCCATGCTAAAACATTTTTTAACCCTTTGTTATATACTGTAAATATTTTCCCAGTTTTTCATTGGCCTTTTAACTTAGTGTTTTTAATGTCAAAGAAAGAAACCACAAACATGTTCAAGAGTGATGTCTAAATCTTCCTTGCTGTGCTCTCCTGAACCCATTGCAGGGAATCTTGTGCCCACAACACCACTGAAACAGCTCTCACCCAGGTTGTCAGTGGCCTCCGTGTGCTGTGCCCCGTGAGCAGTTGGCACTCACCCCACCTGCTCTGTCAGCCGCATTCGACATCACTGGTGACTCCCTGTTCTTTGAAACACTTTACAGCTCAGCTTCCACAACTCTTCATGTTTTCCTTCTACCCACTGGCCTACCCCTTCTCAGTTAGCTATTCCCTCCTCTTCTCTGTACCTTTTGAACATTCTGCTGCCAGTTCTTAGATTGGCCTCACCCCAGAACATCCAGATGCCACTTGGTTGTCTAAGAGTCATCTCAAACTCCAACACAGCCACAGACGAACTCCTGTTCTTCTTCCCAAAACACATTCCACTCACATTTTTCTCTCCTTCAGTTAATGGCAGCTCCTTTTTTCTGCTTGCTCAGGCAAAAAATGTTGAAGTCATCCTTGATTCTTCTCTTATGTCTCATCCAGTTTTACAGGAAATCTTTTTGGTTCTGCCATCAAAATGTATCTAGGATCTGCCCACATCTCATTCCCTCCACTGCCACTACCCTGTCAAGCCCTTCATCTGCGTTATTCCAGCAGCTTCATAACTGATCTCCTTGCTTCCAGCCTTGTACCTCCCAGGGTCTGTCCTTACAAAGAAGTTGAGTGAGGGCCGGCCCTGTGGCGCACTCGGGAGAGTGTAGCGCTTGGGGGCAAGTAGCGCTCCCGCCGCGGGTTCGGATCCTATATAGGCATGACCGGTGCCCTCACTGGCTGAGCGCGGTGCAGGCGACACCAAGCCAAGGGTTGCGATCCCCTTACCGGTCACAAAAAAAGACAAAAAAAAAAAGTTGAGTGATCCTTTAAAATGTAAGTGAGATTAGTCACTCCTATACTCACAGCCTCCTGTGGTTTCCCATCTCACTCAGAGTAAGAGGTGAAGCTTTGAATGACCTTGCAAGGGCCTTGTGATCTGGCCTTCTCGTGCGATTGTTTTCAGACCTCCAACTACTTCGCCCTCTACTGCAACCACTCTGGCCTCCTTACTGTTCCTCAAACAAGGCCTTTATGCAGGCTGTTTCCCCTGTCTCGAACACAATTAGGTTGAATGTTCCATTATTTGTTTTTCTTAAATAATGAAAGCCTTTAAAACAGTAGTTTTCTTTTTTTTTTTTTTTTTTTTTTTTCCTTTTTGTCTTTTTTCGTGACCAGCAACGGATCGCAACCCTCAGTGTCGCACCCGTACCGGACCGGGACCGGCCACGGGATCGCAACCCACGGCGTTGCTCCCGCACCTTGCTCAGCCAGTGAGCGGCCGGGCCGTATGTGGGATCCGAACCCTCGGCGAGAGCGCCACCGTGCTTCCCAAGCGGCACACTGTAGCAGTGCGCCACCGGGCCGGCCCTAAAACAGCAGTTTTCTTTGAATACAGTTTTGGTCCCATTCCCCATGTTTTAATATATTGTATTCTTGTTGTTACCATTTTCTAAACAATCTGTAATTATGTTTTGAAGTCTTTAATTGTAATCATACAAGTAATCATGGACTTATTCTCACTTTTTAAACTTCAGGAGAGTTAAAAATCTCCCTTGGTCACTACCCTATTCCAGTCCCTTCTCCAGAAGTCACTGTTGTCATCAGATAATGTAATCTTATCCACATTAGTAGAGTGTCTTTCCATATCTTAGCCATGCATATGCCAACATGTGGCTTTGTATGTACACATAGAAGTGAAGAGTTTAATTTGTTTGTGTGCTTTCTTTTAAATCATAAATGGGATCATGCTGCATGTATTGTAATAAAACTTTAAGTTTCACTTAAAATATTTTAAAGGTCTTTTAAGACCAGTATGTATAAGTCTGTTTTATTCTTTGAACTGCTTTAGGACATTTCCTAGTTTTTTTAAATGCTCCCCCATCAATAGCTATTTTGATTGTTTACCATTTTCTCTTATTCCAAACAGTACAGCAGTGATTGTCCTTGCTTTGCTCTCTTTTGCTCAAGATAGTATAAATCAATTTTTATTTACTCTTTTTGCCAAAGATTTATTTAGGAATGTTTTTCCCTCAAGAAGTTGGGAGTTTTAATTACTATTTTTGTTTTAAACTTTTGTTAATATGTCCCATTTTTGCATTGTGCCATGAGAGCACAGCTTGCCCAGTTCTTTCCTGATGAGTTTATATATGAGTTGTGTTTCATTGGTGCTAAACAAAGGCCAGTATTTTATCAGACTCAGAGTTTAATGTGTATCTATGAAATCAGCCTAATTCATCATATCCAGTTAAATACACACTGTTAATCTCCATAGGAAGTAAGTAGTTACTCAAACCTGGAAGTTAGTGAACAAAACTTTGAAGTAAGTCCTGGTTGCAAACACTGTAAACACTGATTTTTTTTCCCCTCCTGAAGTGGCCTCACCTCACTCTTAAGAAGGAGAGCTCACTTGTGTATTATCTTCTCAACTGTGTATATCTTTATCTATTCAAGAATTATCAGACTTAAATAGGTCCAGGGTGAAAAAAAGGATGTTTCTCCTAGAACTGCAACTCATAAACAGAAAACTAACAGTGGACATAATTGTTTTTTTACAGTGTTTAAAGATAATGCTGGAGAAATCTGGCCTACCAGGTAAGTTATTTACCGTAATGATGTAATCTTATCCACATCCTTGACTTAAAATAAATAATCTATAACCCTAAGGAAAACTTTTTTAACCTTTTTTTGGGAGAAAATTTTTACAGGATTATGGAGAAAAAAAATAGTTTCATTTCTGTATTTACATAAAAAATTCTCCTGGTTCTTGTTTGCAAGCTAAAAGAAAACTAGTGGTAGATTAGTTCTGAGTAACCTAGATAGCTCTAACAACCTAGACAGAATCCAGCAAAAGTACAAAAGAAATAAAGCTAAGATTTATACCACCTGGAGTTAACCCAGGTCTTTCACTGTTTTTTTTTTTTAATCTTTTTGAGTCAATTTCAATTCATTATTTCATATTTTTGTGGTATAGATTAGAGAATGTAGTATGAATGAAAAAAAATAAGCCCAGGGTAAACTGAAGTAGCTTTCTGGGTGGAATCATGAGCCTCATGAGGACCAGTGAGCCTGATGAGGCGTCAGACTTTTATTAGAGTGCTTTGCTGTTCTCAAACTTCATTAAAGTAGAAGCCTGTGTCATTGCTATTTGGAAGGGAAGGTAACAAGCTCTAAGTAAAAGGCGTTCTTCTAGAAGGGTACACACAGTGTCTCATTTAGTCTCGACAACACTCCTACCATGCAGGGAGCATCAGCTGTTCCCATTTCACAGAGGAGGAAAAGGAGGCTGGGAAAGGCTAAGTGCCTCACCCAGAGCTATGCAACAAGTAGCTAGGTCTTGCTGCTTTCACAGCCCATGTGCCTGCCACCATGCTGTGCTTTGAAGTGATAGTGTTCACTTTTAACTTTTGGTGATTTTTTTTTTTTTTTGAGGTACTTAAAAGTAAGTAAAAAAATTGGTAGAAATCTACTCTATTTAAAACGAGAACAACTGACAAAAGAGGGTCTATAAAGAAGAGTATTGTGGGGATTCAAAACTGTGGCCGGTGGAGATAAATATGAGACCTATGTTTATTCCTCTGGCTATTAGATGTTTTTGGTGGGTGAGGGGAGTTGTCTGTTTATAAATATAGCTATTTTTTTTTAATAACCAGGATTTAAAACTTTTGCCCATCCAACTTTCTTACCAACCCAATAAAATTCTCATTTCACCAATGTAGCAAGTATACTGAAAAACAGAAATCAGATTAAAGTCTACTGAACATTTATAAATATTCACTTATGCCAACTTTATTAAAATGCTATTCAGAAAGCACTAGCACTATACTTTTGTTGGATTAACTGCTAAGTGGGTAGGAATAATTTTCTTGTAAACATTAGCAGGTGCTGAGCAATATTAGCATACACTTTCAGCTAAGACAGTAAAAGACTCAACTTCATAAAGTTGTCAGAAAGGATTCCATACTTATGCATATGTGTACACATATGTATGCTGATGTGTAATGTATATATGTGTGTACATGTAAATAATAAAGGTATAAAGTAAATATTGTATAATAGTAGCAAGTGGTGTTTTTATTTGCAAGTATACATTTGTGGAAGAGAAGGCAAATTAACCAAATTGAGAGAACAACTTAATTTTTTTCATGCTCTGAAAGACACAATTTACTTAAAAATTAATTAATGACTATTAGCAGATCAAACCCCTTCTGATATTCATTTGCCCACAAGGGGCACTTCTGACAAACTCTTAAAATATATTCTTCTGATTTTTTTTCATCCTGATTTTGATTCCTTTACAGGAGATACATGGCATTTACGAAAAATGGATTGGTGCTTTGAAGCTGGGGAGCCTTTATATGAAGAAGTAAGATTATCTGCATACATTTTACTCTTAGAAATGATTACTTTGTATTTTCCTACAAGATACCCAACCCACACATAAATAAATTCAAGAGAAGCCCTTCATTATTTTTCTTAGGATACAAACATCTATGAATGGGTCTATTTCCACTTTTTCTTACTGTATTTTTTTTTTTTAAAGATGACCGGTAAGGCGATCTTAAACCTTGACTTGGGATCTGAATCCGTGGCCTTGGTGTTATCAGCACCACACTCTCCCAAGTGAGCCACAGGCCGGCCCTGACCGTAGGTTTGTTTTTTTTTTTTTTTCCTTTTTGTCTTTTTTTACTGACCGGTAACGGGATTGCAACCCTCGGTGTCGCGCCCGTACCGGGGACCGGCAATGGGATCGCAACCCTCGGTGTCGCGCCCACACCGCGCTCAGCCAGTGAGCGGGAACCGGTCTCCACATGGGATCCACCGCGCTCCCAAGCAGCGCACTCTCCAGTGCGCCACCGGGCCGGCCCCGTAGTTTTTTGATAGAAAGTCTCAGCTAGGTGGGAACACTTCTGACATCTGTGATAAATCTCATTGATGAGAGAGAGCATGTCCCTAGGAGTAGTAGTTCATTAGGAGGCAGAAAATTTCAGAAAACAAATGACATTTGAACTAATAAAGAATTGGAAGATACATTCGGAATTTTTGACCCCTGAATATTTTAATCTCAGAGTTCCTCTGTAAGTTAATGATGCAGAATTCATCTTACCAACCAGTCACCAAAGCTCTGGTCCAGACTCTAGATCCAGCCAGACTCTTAGGGTAGCCCTAGGAACAATTTTATCATAGAGTAGTTGGAATCTGGTTAGTCATCATCGTCTTGGTCCAAATAGTATCAAACCTCCCAGTTCCCATAGCCTTGGAAGTAGAACCAAAATGAAGCTTTGGGAGAAAGCTTAGAGACTTGTGGTCAGCTGCCCTTTTCCCCAATCTTTACCTGCCTGCTTTCTGGTGAGTGATAGACAGTGGCATTGAACATCAACAGCAGGTTGAATTCAGCAGGTGTACTGGGGCTTTCCAGCAGAATGCTCTTTGCCCTACAGCAGTCAGTCAGTCAGTAGAGAGAGGCCCCTCTTGAGTCTTGGCCAGGAGATTGACTGTCCTGAGTAAAAAGTGGACCTCAAAGAATCTTCAGGACATAGAGTTTGGATGTCAGAAGAATATATTTATTCAAGTAGTTTTGGAATTTTCTTCTCTATTAATTCCCAAATTGGTATCAAACAATTTATCTAAAAGCAAACTCATTGCCCTCAAAACTGGCTTCTCTTCCCAAATTTGCCATCTGTCTTCTCATCCTAATCTTTTCAGACTAAAACATGGCTTACCCTATTTATCTTTTGTTCTTCATGTTTAGTCTTGGCCTTCAAAGCCCTGTCAGCTCTTGTACTCCTTCCCTGAACACCCCACTGCTGGTCACCTAATTGAAACCTTCTTTTGCCTATTACTAAATTACTACTTCAAAGGTTCCCTGGGCCAAGTGTACCCCACTTCAATATGTCATGCATGTAGTGGCCAAACTGATCTTTAAAAACTCCTCAGAAATCCTGAGTAGCTCCTTTATTTCTGTCCCACACCCCTTCAATTTGTGCTCACCCTTCCAGTCCAGTTGTATTTCCTGTTACTCTCCAGCTGGTGCTTCGCACTCTGATCAGTCTGGTCTCTTAGCTCTTTACCAAAACAAGCCACGCTGTTGTCAACCTTGACGTTGCCGTTGTTCTTTTTTTCATGAGAAATTCCTTCTCTTGGTACCTCTAGCTTTGCAAATCCAACCCATCTATTTAGGCTCAACCAAAATTTCATCTTCTGTAAATCAGTCTCTCATCATCTCTTGTCTTATCCATTGCCCTTTCTTGAATCTTTTATGATACTTATAGCTTATACCCTACAATTTAATACATAATGCTATACTGATTTTATAGTCTTGGCATATTTCTTATCTCTTCAATATCTGCTTTATTATTCATTTATATGTTTCTTGAAAAGGTAATAGAGGCATAGGGTTAAAAAAAAGATCCAATTGTCTGTTCATTCCTTTCAGAAGTCATAAGTGACAAAAAAGAATTTCTCTTTTCCCAGGATGCAACACTGAAAGAGCTTATGATATGTTCTGGAGATACGTTGCTTGTAATTGAAGGAAAACTTCCTCCTCCGGTAAGATTTTGCTTCTGAATAGACATTTTGTAAGTAATAGTTACTGTTTTCTGATTACAAAGATGATATATTCTCATTGTGGGAAAATGGGGAAATACAATCATAAAGACAATAGAGAACTTTCCCACAATCCTACAAATCAGATATATTTCCTCCCTACAGATATTTTTAAATAAAATTAAAAGCAATTGCATGTAAAATTTTATTTCCTACTTTTCATATTTAATATTTTAACCTGATCATAACATTCAAAAACAATCATCATGTCCAAGGTAATGATTTACTATAGTTTAACTCACCTATGTCCCCATTATTGGAAATTTAGCTTATTTTAATTTTTTCTTATAAATATAAATCTTTAAGATAGTTCTAAAAGTGGAATTACTAACTCAAAAGGTGTGAACTTTAAAGACTTGTTGCTATATATTGTCAAACTGTTTTTCCAACAAGTCATACCAAATTTACAATCCTATCAGTAGTATATGAGAGGGCTCATTTCACTGTGCTTCCATAAACATTGCATATTACTACTTTTTAAGCCAATATTTGTTTTTTTCAAATGCAGATACATGTAAAGATGAAAAAAAAAAAATGGCCCCAAAATTTTAGTACTTAGATAACCATTTGCTTTTGATTAGAAAATTTAGACAGCACAAAAGGCTGTTAAAAATGAAAAGTGGAAGTCACGTCCACATCGTTCTCTTCAGCGAGAGCCACGATTGGTTTATTTTTCCTTTAATATTTTTCCAAAAAAACATTATGCATATTTGTTTGCTGAATGTAAATGTGCATATCCTTTTTAAAGTTTCCATAATAGGGATAATATTCTCTATATTGTTTTACACCCATTGTTTTTTCTTGGTTTTTGTTTCCTTAGTTTATTTTGGAGATCTCTTCATATCTGCACATACAGACCTACCTTATTCTTTTTCATAAATTTGTAGAATCCTACTGTATTTTGTACCATGACTTTTAATGATCTTTAAAGTTAATTTTGGATTAGGTAATAATCATGATACAAAATTTCAAGTGTATAAGAAGAGGGGCCAGGAAAAGTAAGTGTCCCTCCTCCTCTCCCCACTCCCAGCCTCCCTGTGTCCTCTCCCCACAGCAGCCAGTTTCCTCTTTTCCTTCCAGAGGTATATTCTTTTTAATATATACACATGCAGTCACTCAAGTATGTGTGCATATATATATATACATATCATACATACACATATGTGTATATATTCCTTTTTATTTGCCAAAAAAATTATATGCTAGAAATCCTATTTTGTACTTGGCTTTTTTCATTAATATTTTATCTCCAATATATGCTGTATCAGTACATATAAATCTATCATTATATTTAATGGCTACATAATATTCCACTATTTAGAGATACCATAATTTAACAACCCAGTCTCTTTTCAAAGAATATTTAGGTTGTTTCCAGTCTTTTGTTGATACAAGTTACACATTAAAAAATACCATATATGTGGCATTTTGCATACACACACACACAAACACACACATTTTTTTTTTTTTTTTAAAGAATGATTTTACAGGGCCGGCCCGGTGGCGCACTGGATAGTGCGCCGCTTGGGAGGCGCGGCGGCGCTCCCGCCCGAGGGTTCGCTCTGCATTGGTTGCATAAATTTACTCAAAAAGTAAAATCATTTTTTTTTTTTTTTTTAAAGAATGATTTTACAGGGCCGGCCCGGTGGCGCACTGGATAGTGCGCCGCTTGGGAGGCGCGGCGGCGCTCCCGCCCGAGGGTTCGCCGGTCCGGTACGGGGGCAACACTGAGGGTTGCGATCCATTGCCGGACACGGAAAAAGACAAAAGACAAAAAAAAAAAAAAAAAGAATGATTTTACTTCTTGAGTAAATTTATGCAACCAATGCAGAGGCTGTAGATGACTCATATTTCCAACTGGGGGGGAGGATTTGCTTGGTCTTATAATATCAAGCCAGTTGGTGAATTTGGCTCTCAATAAGAATTACATAGAATTTAGCATCCTTATCCTTTCTGTTTCTCTCAAGATGCTTTCAAGCAGCAACTGCTTTCTTAATTAAATGGTAGAGAGATTCTCAGGAAGATCAGGAGGAAGTCCTTTGGACTTAAGGATTCTCAAGATTTTACTCCTTGTTACAAAGCATACTTGTGCAAAACCATGTGAGTTCCTCAGGATCACACTGATTTGTGAGGGAGTCAGGCCCTTCTTAGCAAGATTATAAATCTGCTCCTTCACATCAGATGTCAATCTCAGCTGGTGGGGACACTGCAAGATAGGGCAGAGCCGACTGGGACAGGCCCTTCTCTGGAGCATGCACATAACCCATGATAGCAGAGGTCACATGTCGGGGTGCTCTCTCGGTCATCCAGGCCCGGGCTCCGGATTTCCCTGGCTGTGGCCACTGAGTGATCCCTGGCAGGTTCCCTATCCCCCCCAGGGAGGACCAGATAAGTTGCCCTCTGCGGGGTAAGCCAAAGAAGGATCCCCAAAGGTAGGTGAGTGCACCGCCCACCTATTCAGCCCACAAAGGAACACTCAGACGCAGCAGGGGTTCTGTCAAGCAGTTCCGTTTATTGTCTTTTAAGCACTTGTATTTATATCTAAGCAAGCGGGGATTTCCACACTGAGAGCCAATCACTGGAAAGGTCACATGTGCATGCACCTTACTTTCCTATGCTTAGCCTACTGATCACGAGCGTGCGGAAAAGTGCAACTACCAATACAAATTTTTGCGGAACTAAAAGTGACACTCCCCCTTTGCTTCCTCTAGGTGCCATCTTGTGTGGACCATGCGGGTGGGGAACTTAAACAGCTGCCATTTGTGTGGACCATGCGGGTGGGGAACTTAAACAGCCGCCATTTGGTGTGGCCTCCTTTCACCCTAGCAATTGCTATAGCAAGTGGAGTGGTTGCAGCCCAATAGTCAGGCAGCAAAAAAAAAAAAAAAACCCACCATTTTGCATATATTTGAGTATATCTACAGAATAAATTCCTAGAAATGAAATTCTTCAGTCAAAAGTTATGGCCTGCCATAATGTAACCACTCTTATAAAAGAGGGACCTTAAGGTTGGTTCATGTTTTTTGCTACCATATACAATTTGCAACAAATATCCTTGCATATGTGGCTTTCTATGCATGCTCTAATATGTTAAAAGGAAGATTCCTAAACATAGAATGGTTGAGTTAAATGACTCAGGCATTTTACATTTTGACAGATGTGGCCAAATTACTCTCCAAAATCTTTGCAGCACTTTGTATTCCTGTCACCAATTTACAAAACTTCAACTTTACCTATATTTTCATCAACATAGAATATTATTAGGCTTTCTGGTTTTGACAAACTGCTAGGTGAAAAAAATGGAATTTTTTTGTTCTTATTTTTATTTATTTAATTGAATGGAAGTTGAATGTTTGTTCATCTTCACCAGTTTGATAAACAGAAAAATACGAGTGTATTTCAAAAAGTTCATGGAAGGGTTCATATGATCTTTTAATTCTGTTTTTCTATGAACTTTTTGAAGTACCTCTACTCTCATATGTGTTTCTTGGAATATATATATTTTAAAATGTTTTCCATGGTTATTTTTCACATTCTCATCTTCTATAATTGGGAATTGAGCACTGTAACATCATCTTTGATCTTTTAATAAATCTGTTAAAGTTCTTTACTAACCAAAAACGAGGTAGGAAGAACTAGCTAAATTGGTAAAATTAACTAACTAAAGGGTATGTCTAAGGCAATGGGCTTATTTTATGTAGTTTATATACAGGAATCCAACAGATCAATAGGTTGTTGCATCTGTATAATAATTGGAATCTGCTGTAACTGGTGCATTCTGCCAGGGGATCTCTTACAGTGCCTGGAAATATTGGGGTAGTGTACTCTGGCAAATATTTTGTTATTTTGTTTATGCTTCTCATTTATTTTATCTACTAAGATACTTCTAAGCAAAGAACATTTAGTCTCGGTCATCCCAAAGTCTGATTTTTACAATTTTAAAATGTTGCATATAAAAACAATAAACAAGTATAATTTATGGCAGTTAATAAATCTGAAAAGAAAAACAATAAGTTCAACAACATTTTATGCCATTAAGACATTTCCATCTTTGGAAGTGAAAGTGGAGATTTTCTTAATCTTTGTACATCACAGGGTTTCCTGAAGGTGCATATCTGGTGGTACCAGCCTCGGGGTCCCTCAGAACACTGGAAGAGTCATCAGGACCGGACCAACTGTATGCCTTCCCAAGACAGGGTATGGAGAGCTGCTTCTACTCAAGGTGAGGACCAAATGGAAATGCAGCAGCCAGCATGTCACAAAGAAAAGTGAAATGACTGCTTCTGCTTTGAGAGTCCATTGAAATATTTACTTTAAAAATGTAAGGTTGAAAATCAGAACCTATTTATTCTATAATAAATCATTCCATAATCATAACACCATCCTATCTTTATACAGTGCTTTGTAACCTCTGGAAAGCACTGTATATCTTATTGTTATCTCAATAATGTTATAGTTTTTCAAAGACCTTTTATGTTTCATCTCCCAGGACCCTCAGGACAATAGCAGCCCCATTTATTATCATGTCCCAGGATATTGAGGCTTCAGCCAATTCCAGTGGCCTCACTGCAGCCCACGGGGGCTGAGAGCAGGGCTGGAATCCACATCCTCCACATTTCTTGGTCTTTCTGCATCTCCCACCCAAACCCCCAAGAACTGTTTCTAGAGCATGTGACATCATCTCACTCACTTCTGAGAAGAAATACAGAGCACAAACATGCAGTAACTCAAAATTCCATATGCACATCATAATGAGTGGAAGTCACTAGCAGTGAATTGAATTACCTTTGTGCAAATTGGTTATAAAGAAAATACAGTTCAATCTCTTTTGGAACCGTAGATAAAGAGAATATATTTTTAGTAGTGCCTACTCTTTAGGTATATTTTTTCCTTTTAACCATGGATTACTTGTTTAGCTTTCATAGTACTGAAGTATTATATCATATATTCATATGTCTTTTTATCTTTTTTTTTTTCCTTTGGCAGCTGGCTGGTACAGACCTGGACTTTGGTGTTATGAGAAACACTAACCAACTGAGCTAACTAGCCAGCCCTTTTTATCTTTTAAACCTCAGTAATGAAATTGATGTAATGAAATTAATATAAATGAGTCTAACTCTTATCTCCTTATTTTTTGAAGTTAAGTTTCCTTGTATAGAGTAATAAAAATATACTGAATCAGCTATGAAATGGGCATAAAGTTATTTTTCAGTTGGGTTACATTGGTTCATGTGAACATTCTAAAAATGCTTTGGTGATAAAATAATAATTACATATAGAATTGGATGGATGTTTAATCAGTGTGTTTCTCCATGAAACCAAAGAAAAAAGTTTATTTTTTGGTAATGCTTTTATATCACAGCAAATGGAAAATATGTTTCATTCTTTAGAATGTCCTAAAATTGTCCTTCGGGTTGTACCAGCCTATAGTTTCCTTAAATGCAAGACAAACCACTCATGAAGAGAGCTTTTCACTTAATTTACTTATAATCTATCTATAACTTCTTCTTATGTACTAGCAGTGCACTCAGCAATAAACAAAGACATTTAATTAAAGCAAAAATATTCTGAATTTAAAATTTAGTTACCAGCTTTTATATTCAGAGTTTTTGATGAGACAGCATTTTATTTTTCCCTTTTTCTAAACAAATGTGGACAGGCCCTTCTTATTGTCCAGATTTCCTTCATTCAGTAAACATTTACTGGGCATTTACTCTGTGTCACCCACCACACCAGGTACTGGGGCAACAACACGACAAATAGCTACCCCTCCCGAACACCCTGCTCTTTTGAGGCAGATGTAACTCATGCGTGCACAGAAGACAGACATAAGAGTGACAAGCCGGGATAAGTGTCATGAGGAAAAGCAGGGAGCTAATATTGAGAATGTGGGCAGAGTCTTCTATGAGGAAGAAAGGAATGTGGAAAAGAACATTTCTAGGTGCCAGACAGCACAAGAGTACTGCTCCTCCTAGGATTCAGCCCACTTGCTCCTTGGCTGCTCACTCACCAGGCAGCGCTTCCTCACCGTGGAGGTCACAAGGGAGCCAATTCCAGAGATTCAGTGGCTCTTGAATGGAATTTTAATAAACCTATTACAATATCAAAACATATTACAATATCAAATAAACCTATTATGACAGCAAAACATGGCAGTGTACTTCAGAAAAATGAAATAAATAAGTTTAAGGTTCCTTCCAAACATCCAGCTCTGTCCTTTTGAAGGTGCTCCTGGAAACGTGCCCGTGGAAGTTTCTCTCCTCTACTTGGGAGATGTGGAAATCTCAGAAGATGCCTCTCTCGTGGATCTGAAGTCTCAGGTCAGACTTCTCCCTGCAGTATACCTTAGTGGTGATACATGGCTTCTTCTAGTGAGATATTAATATATTCTTCTATTTCCTTTTCCCTCAATTACAGTCTGTTCTGATATGGCATTTGTTATATGCCATGTTCAGTGGTGAGTACCCGGCAGGCAGCACATGCCTGTGGCTCAGACAGCTCCTGGCGTTGCTTTCTGCAGTCGCCCCGTGGCTCTCACGTACCCCTACTCTGACAGGCATGCTGTGCTTTTGTTTGAATCTATCCTTAGTGACTTGCGGCTTATGTTCATTTTTATTTTTTAGGGAAACATGGTTTCTTGAAACATTTGTAAAGCATTCACTTTACCCCTTTATTTACGTTGTTTTCAAGCCATTGTGATCCATATGTTAAATGTTGTTAGTGAAAAGCTGTGTTACCAGTTTCCCAGGTCAGAATATCAGCTTCTATGTTAGAATGCTACAATAGATAATGTTAATGCATAAGAAAACCACACAGTAACAGAGAAGGAGTGTTTCGTCCAAATGGGAAGGCTGCAATTAAGTACAACACAGAATGTTGAAGATGCTTCTTAGTATCATTGGACTGAAATGAACCTCCCTTCTTTCCCTTAAAGGAAAAAATATGGGGTATAGATGACCAGCAGTCCTTGGTGTTTGGCTTTTGTGTGTCCTCGGTGTATGAAATTTTTTTCCTCAGAAAAAGCAAATGGCCTTATTCTTATGAGAAAAAGTGGGAAGATACTTTTTTTTTCTTACATTAGGTTGAAAGATTTAAAAAATCGCTGTTTGGGGGCCAAAAATGGATGAACATTGGAAACTTTATATGCTTCAACCTAAATGTAAATAGGTGCTTACCGTTATCTACTTCTACAGAATTAAAAAGCAGTTTGGGACTACCAGCTGGATTCAAAGACATTGAAGTATTTCACAAAGTTAGCTCGCTGGCAGAGGAGAACCGTGTCAGCTCTGCTCACAGCTGAAGGTGCAGCCCAGGCTTCTTCCAGAGCGGACTCTGCTCTGGTGAATTACGTTTACACAGAAATTAATTCTAAAGTTTCCTTTTTAAAAACATGATTAAAAAGGAGCTTTTAGCTCCTTTAAAAGTAGAAAACTCACTTATTTCTCAAGCTGACTTCAGTGGAGAGGAATATGAAAATTACTCAGGATTAATTTCATTTAAGAGAGGGATGGATACTCCTTTGATTTTTCTGAATAGATTGTATCATTACTTGAGATACTCTTTCCCTCAGATGTCATTGTGTAGTACTTCATTTTTTTTTTTCTAAAGCATTATGTTTTTAAGAGTGCTTTTTAAAACCATTGGAGAAATGTTTCTTTTTCTAGGCCATGACCTTGCCCCTTTTCCCGGAGTTCGCTGCTCCGTCCCCAGCCTTCCTCCGAGCCTGGATGGTGGAGAACAGGCGCCCGGGCAGGCTTCTGCGGAGCGACCGGCAGCCGCTCAAGTACGTGTCTCGCTGGATGCTCAGCAGTCCCTCTCTGCTGACACTGCGGTGCCAGGAACTGAGATGGCTGGACGGAGAAGTCACATAGTAACGGAAACATTCCCAGTCACTCCGCACTTTTTATCATAAACTAAACTCTAGGACATCATCAGCTTTCCGTATTAATATAAATGTAGCTTTGTGTATTTTTTGCTGTGCTCCAGAGGCTGTGACATTATCATAACTTAGAAGTATTTGGAGTGAAGTCGAAGTTAGGGATGAGCTGTTTCTCATTCAGGGAGTGTTAGATTCAGCTGATTCTCCTCCTGGAACTTTGAATTTAAAGAGTGTGTGTGGACCATTAGGTTTAGTTAGTTTCCTTTGCACAAAGCAGCCCTGAGGGCTTCTTTCACATTAGTTCTGATTACCACCCAAAAAGTGACTGCCATGAGAATCTAAACCATGGCCAAACAGAGGGAAATTTATTTGGCAGTTGGCCATTTTCACAGATCCAAACCTACGTTTAGTAAGAAATGACCCAAATATCTAAATAATCACCACAGCAAGTTTTCTAGTTTCTCCCCTTTTTTGAAAGTTTAAGTGTTCTTATACAGTATTCAGAAAATGATTCTTTGCTTAAGAAAAAAGCTTCAAGTTGGCAAAAATAGTATTCAAATATTAAATGATAATGTCACTTAATACTATTTTGTTTCACTTCTTTTTCAGGGAGTATAAACTAGGACGGAGAAATGAGATCTGCTTAGAGCCCCTTCGGAAAGAGGAAAACTTGGGGTAAGAAATTCTACTGCACATATAAAGTTACACATATCATATTGGGAAGTATGTCTCTTTAAAAATGTAACAATAGCGTAGTATTTTTTTTTTTTACTGCTTCTAAGGAATCTAGCAAGTTAAAACAGATTGTGTTCTACAGATATGTTTGTATGACTGGTATCTAGAATCTGAAACTTATTCTCCCACAAGAAAAGTAAGGGAGAATTAATTTTTCAATAACCTCCAAGTGCATATTGACCCCATAGTTATCTGAAGTGTCAGCAAGATGCTCGTCTGTAGGTCTCATCAGTGCGCCAGATCACCTGTTGTCATGCACTTGTCGCTCTGCCCCCTGACCAGCTTTCTTCATCCTAATATCTTTTTTTAAAAAAAATTTTTATTGAATCAAAATTGATTATACATATTTTGGGGGTTCAACATTGAGATATGTTGATCAAATCAATATTACTAGCATATATATTGTTACAAATCATAATTATTCTTTATGCCTCTTGTCCAATCCCTCCCCATCTGCCTTTTCCTCCCCCCCCCAATCACCCTAGATTTCTTCTAACCCTCTGAAAGAATAATGGTTACTCTGTTGATTTGCTGCCCAAAAGATCTGTCCAATGCTGAGAGGCATGATCAGGTCCCCCAATATTATCATAGAGCAGATGTCTCTTCCGTCACTATGGAATGGGCTCTGTGGAGAGAAACATCCTCCTCCTTTCTTTATCTCTGCTGGTGACTCTCCTTGTGTCAACTCACTCCAGTACCTGGCAGACCATTTGCATGGTGGTTGTGGCGTCTAGCTGCCTTCATGGCAGCCATGGTTATCATGGTGGCTGTGGTGGGCCACCCACATGGAGGAGATGTTTTTGGCATGCTCCTTGGCGCTGGTGGCGTGCCTATTTGTGGGTGGGGAGGTCTGGTACCCGTCTCCAATCCTTGGGTACCCTGGTGGTTCCTGAGGCACTGGTGGTGTGCCTGGGCGGGAACTAATTTTTTGTCCTTTGCTTATTTCTAAAATGGGGGAATGTCCTGTGGGAACCAGTAGTTGAGCTGTGTGGTTGAGCTAAATTGCTGCTTTGCTGCTCTTTCCCTAGGGAAGACTTTTTGTGTAGCTCAAGGTTTAATGGTTGACCTTACAAGTACTTCCAGCTCTCCAGAGACCTGGTGCACCAGGATTGTGTAGAAACTCTGATCTGGGCCTGAGTCTTTTCATCAAACAGCACCCCATGCAATTCTGCATTCCTGACCAGTCTCCTCTGAGTGGTCCTATGCTGATTGGGGGGCGGATCAACTGTCCTTGTTGTGTCCCAGTGTTCCCCTGGTGGGCCCATTTCTCCCACTGCCTGTACTTCAACACTTCCCATGGGACAGGCTGCATGCCAGGTCCGTTGCGATGACTCACTGGCTTCTGAGTGGCTCCCCTTTTTCAGTTGTTCTGGCTCCTCGCTCCTGCATGGGTCCACGGGAACCCTATTAGTGGTCTTGCTGTCCTGGGGGCCACCAGAGTCCTCTTCTCCCCTTCCGCCTCCAGGGAACTCCATCTAAAGGGCACGGCTGTGGCTTCTGCCAGCTCCTGCTCCATGTGCTCAGCAGCTCCAGCCTTAAAGCGGCTGTAGGCTGAAACACTGAGAAGTTTTTCTTTCTCTCATCGTGGCTTCTCCCCATTCATGAACTCCGCAGGTCTCTCCTCCTCTTATAATGTTACATTTTTGTAGTTGTAAACTCATTCATTTGTGGGAGAGAGTGACACTGGGGACCATCTATTCTGCCATCTTGACCAGAACTTCATCCTAATATCCTAATGTCAGCTGACACACTACATTTACTACGTGTTATCTGTCCCCCTACTAGAATATAAGCCTCATGAGAGCACCTAGAATACTGCCTGTTTCATAGTCAAAAACTATTTATCAAATAAAGAAGCACCCAAGAAACTGTCTACCATCAAACCATCCTGTTCTTTTGTCACTATGGGAAAGTCTTTTATGAGACCTTTTTGTAAATATCACCAAATATTAAGATTCCTCTATCTGACCTGATGAAGATCCTTGTCACAGTGTATTCTGAGAAAGCACCCTTCAACCATGTCTAACCTTCATTTAATCCCAGTGCACTTACAAACCTGCACTCTTAATACTAATAGTATGACCAGGAATAGTTTCCTAGAGGGGAATTCCTGGATCAAATGGTATGGACGTTTTAAACCTCTAAAATCAATTGTTAAATTCCTTTCCAGGTAAGTTACACCAACTTGTGTTCCCATAAGCAGACTTTGTGAGTATTTACTTCTTCTTACCCTCCAGCCAACACTGAATAATTTTACTGTTTAGATGTTTCCTAAATTGATAAATGAAAAATGGTCATCTTATTCTCATTTGCTCTGGTCCTTTGATGGCTAGTAAGGTAGAGCATTTTTTCAAAGGCTTATAAACCATTAGTATTTTGTGAGTGTGTGAATGAGTAGTTTCATACATTTTACTTAAAGAAAAAGTCTGATGCAATTGTGGGAGCTCTTTGTGTAGGAGCGACGTTGCCCCCTTTCACACGTGTCGTGAGGAGGGCCCTTTTGAGGGACAGCAGTGCACTTCCTTAGACCCCTGCCCACTTGGCTCTTCTGTCCTTGGCTGACCTCCAGGGCACCTTCACTGTCCTCGGGGAGGCCTCTCATCCCTCCTCTTCACCCAGCCCCTGGTACCTGCTGGGCACCTCCAGCATGTGTGCCGCAGCCCCTCTCTGCTCGGCTGCAACAGCGGGTCCCCACTGCGTGCACTGCCCAGCAGCGCCTCGCCTGCAGCCCCTTACTGTCAGCATTCTCCTGGGCTCTCTTCCTCCAGCTCCCCCTCCTCCTGTGGTATCACCCTTTCATTTGGTAAAAACGTCAATATAACAGAAATACAACATTTAAAATCACTCATTGTCTCACCAGAAAACACAGTAATTTTCATTTCCCCTTTTCTTTGTTTTTTTTGTTTATTTTGTTTGTTGGCAGCTGTCCGGTACAGGGATCCGAATCATCTCCTTCTTGCTACCATCCAGTTCTTATCTGTGGTCTTTCCTTCGTGTCCTGTAGCGATCTACACACCTAACCTGTTCTCCCACCTTTCTGAAGGGGTCTCTTTCTTCTCCTCCAAGGCCCTTTTCCTGCTAAGTTTTCTGGTACTCCCGCAGCTGCAGCCATAGTCTGTCACCACCTTTGTGTCTCTAGCCCCAGCTCTAAGTCCTCAGTGCCTTCACCTTGGCCACCCACAGCAACTCAAATCTGTAGCACCTAAAATCAAGTGCATAACTGTCTGCCTCAACCAGCCTTTTCCTGCCAGCTTTCTGGGTCCAGTCGCACAGCCAGCAGTTCCCAGGAGCCACCGTGGCTGGGAAGCTCAGTGAGGGTGGGCCCCTCTGAGCCCTTCCCTGCCCGGCGCACAGTCCCGCCTGGGCTGCTTCCACTCCGCCTCTGGTCCGCTTTCCTTCCTTCCCCCGCTGAGGAAGACTCCTCCGCCTTCAGCCCTGGCACTGCCTCTCCAGGGCCCTCTGCTGAGGACTCAGAGCAGGATCTTCGCTTCCAGTCTTCTTCAGGATTCAGGGAGACTGGAGTGGAGGATAATGGTTTCTCACTAGCATTCAGGATTTAGGGAAAATCTCTACTTATAAAAACCAGGAAAGTCAAGGGGAAGCTTTGCCCTTCATGCCCCTACAGTTACCATGTGCTTTTCATTTCGTGTGTTTGAAATCTGGCATCTGATTGTTTTCTGGTGCAGCCCCCAGGACATGCTGCTGAGGACACAGATGCGCATCCCCGGCACACGGGCCTATGTCCCGGCCATGGACTTGGTGTGGGACACCGCCCGAGGCTGGACTGCCGGCTCCCTGCGGCAGCGAGTTGCCGACTTCTATTCTCTTCCAGTGGAGAAAACTGAAATTGCCAAATACTTTCCTGAAAAGTTCGAGTGGCTTCCAATATCTAGCTGGGTAAAGTTGTAGGGCTTTCTCAGAGAAATGGGGCGTACTGGCATGGTAACTATGCTAGCTACAACTCTTCACGGTGATAGGAAACTGAGTAAGAATTTGAGGTTGGGGCCGGCCCGGTGGCGCACTGGAGAGTGCGCCGCTTGGGAGTGCGGCGGCGCTCCCGCCGAGGGTTCGGATCCCATGTGGAGACCGGTTCCTGCTCACTGGCTGAGCGCGGTGCGGGCGCAACACTGAGGGTTGCGATCCCATTACCGGTCAGTAAAAAAGACAAAAAGGAAAAAAAAAATTAAAAAAAAAAAAAATTTG